AGAGTTGCACACACGCGGAGGGTTGAGACCGCGTAGGATTTTTTGTACTCTGGAAAATGAGTACATTTTAGAGATGCTAAAGAACTCTGAATGGAACATCCGTTTCATATCATCATTGTTCTCCACTCAAAAGGGTCACATTCATAGTTTATTTTCACTGTAACAACTCCGATCACGATTCACTTTTCAACACAACATTCTCTTGGGCTTGCTGGAGCGTTTCAGGACAGGTTTCGCGCACCTGTGACGCATACAGCCCTCTGAAACAGGTACACCGTGATGGCGGGCGAAGGCGGTACGGGTAATTTTCTTAGCGTAGCTTTCGACCTCAATGAGGAGTATCATGATCTTCCAGACTGCCAACTGCCCAATGCCCCGATTGATCTAACCGGGGACCGCGATGCGGACACGGAATTCGAGGCAGCTGTTGGGGGCGATGTGTTCCTGGATGCTCAGGAGGAATTTCCGGCCTCGAACCCTGAAGTCGGGGTCGAGGGAAATGTGGCCGAGGGCGGATTTCCGAGGGGCGGAATTCCGAGGGGGGTGTTCATTGATCTCGCGGAAGATGATGACGACCCCCACCGAGCGTTGTTTGAGGAGAATTGGGAGGAAAATGCTAGCCGAAGCCCAACCTCTGAAGATAATGCCACCCGGCGAAGTCTTTTTGGGGAACCGCCCCGTGGCAATGTGAACGGCCCAGAATCACAGGCATCGCCACATGGAAGTGCACATGGTGTCGGATCGTCGGCTGCGCCCGCGGGAAATGCTGAGGGACAAGAACCAGAGGCTACGCCACAGGGAAATGCGGAGGGGCAAGCATCGCAGGCCGCGCCTCAGAGAAATGCAGATGGGCCAGCATCAGCTACGCACGAGTCAGTTCGAAAACAGGCCGACGTGGCCAGCAGGATTCGCCGCGCAAAAATCCCTTTCGATTATCTCGCGGCGAAAACCAGAAAAGACTACATCCTGTATTGGCTGCACTACAAGTGGTGGGTCATCATGTTCATGTCAACGTTGCCCAAGACTGAGGTCCCGGCGGAGGAGCGTCTGAACCCGCTGGCGCCTGACGAGGTTGGAATCCATCTGGGGAACGACAAAAAGGCGGAGTGGTCAACTGTGGATTTGGATGAAGTTTATCTCCACGGGCCCCGTGTTACTGGATGGAGGATTCAGAGGTTCCTGCGGTACATGGCAGAGGAAACCCCCGCGCAGGCCGAGATGATGCGGAGAGGCGAAGAAGTGGTGGCTGGAAAGGAGCCCATCCCTAGTACGCCGAGCATGATGAAGGCAAAGATGAGCGCTTTGGGCTTCCTGGGCAGACTTGAAGCTCGACTCTACGACTACCCGAAGGCCCAAGCAAATGAGTACATCGGCGAAGCGCGGGAGTACATGAAGCTCAAGCTGAAACAGCTGCACGACAAGCAGGTTGCGTGAGTATTTACACACTTCATGGCCAAACAGATTCTCGAAAATTTGATGCCTAAGCACGTTCCATGTGGGTCTATGCAGGGAGGGCAAGGATCAGCACCGAAACTCTCTGGACGATTGCTACACGTCGGAGCAGTACGCGGACCTGCACGAAAAGCACTTTTTGAGGGAAATCAAATTGTGCTACCAGAGAACCAGGATTGCATTATCAGAAAGTCTCTGGCGGTGTTTTGCGGTGCAGGTGATGATTCAGCTCGCACACCAAATGTTGGGAAGGGGATGCAGCATTCGTGCTCTTCGATTCGCCAACATGTTTGTCCGCCACACGCGTAGCAGCACGGCCGTCCCCGACCGCCAGAAGGATCTCCCTGTGGTGGTTTTCGCCTCTCGAAAGTCCAAGACGAATGCGACCAACAGGCTGACCCACCAATTCTTGGCCCGGCACATCAACTTCGCGCTCTGCGGTGTTGGTGGTCTTTTTCTGTGGATTCATTTCGTCTACGACCTCGTGCCACTGCGATTCGGAGCGGACATCATTCCGCCACTGGACTTCAGCGACCCCCTCCAGTGGTCAAAGAAGCACATTTTTTTCCCATTGAGGCACGGAAGGGAACAACTGCAGGAAAAGCTTCCGTACGTGACCCACAACAAGTGGATTAATTGGGTCATGAAGGAAGTAGCTCGACCGCCCTGGCGGATTAGCAAAAAGACCCATGCGTTTCGCCGATCGGGAGCCCAAGGCCTGAGTGACAATCGATGTCCCGACCCCGACATCAACGCTCTCGGCGGCTGGGAGCAGGGCGAGATGCGAAAATCCTACGTCGTGGGAGTTCCGTTTTGGCCGGTCTTGATGATGGCCGGATTCAGTGGGGAGCCGGGAGATTACTACATTGGCAGAGCGCACGCTAAACTTGACAATCCAGCCGAGTGGCAACAGTTGCAAGACCTCTTCAAGCTGTTCATCTTCCCGCGCCTCGAATCTGATTTGGCAAAGGTATCCCTTCATTACCCACCCTTTTGCAGTGTCTAATGTTGCACTTGGCAAAGCTGAATGTCTTCTCTGTTCTATCATCTCAGTTCGATAAGTACAACCACGACAATCCGGATAAGCCGCACCACTCTGGCAGAAGTTTTTTGGAAGCTCTTGCAAACCCTGGGCGAGACATCGTGGCACAGGACCTTGCCATGTGGTGGTTCTACTGTCCCGATCACGACCATTTGCTCAACGGTACAAGACGGCCATGCGAGTGCCAGCGCCACCCGTACACGGACATGAATCCGCTCTGCCGCCACCCTCTGTTTCAGAAATGGGCCATCAAAGTGGCAATCATGCACAAGGCTGGCATTGAACTTCGTGAAGCCAGAGGCAGCTCTGCAGCCGCTGTAAGTACAACAGTTCTCTGATCGGCCCTTCCATTTCGACAGACCTGACATTGCCTGAAAACCCTCGTCCGTTTTCCCGCAGGATGCGATCTACAAGCTGAACTCATCCTGAAAGTACCAGCAGCTCCTGGTGGAGAACAACCTGTACCGGACGGAATGTGGTCAGAAGGATCACGAGATCGGCGAGCTGAAGAACAGGCTCGCTGAAACCGAAGAGAGGGAGAAGAAGACGGCCGCTGAAAACGAGCAGCTCAAAGCGGAGCTGGCTGCTCTGAAGGCGCGTGCAGGGAGCAGCGCGAACGCACAGGCTGCTGATCGAGGGACGGGCTCGTCGACAATGGAGGAAGCTGGCGGGGAGGCTCCGAAGCCCCAGAAGGCACAAGTCACCACTCCAGTGCGGGCATTTTTCGACCTTGTCGTTAAACCCTGGCGGGACTCGGAGACGGTCGCAGAGGCATGGGAACACTGGGTGAAGGTGACATTTTTGATGGACGGAAAGACTCTCCGCCAGCTGTCGTCCGAAAAAAGTTTCTACCCCACTTTCTCGTACATTGAGAAGGGTGTGAAGGACGATACTGGCGACAAAAAAATGAAGCAGATGAGGAACGTGATGCTCACCGTCGAGAAGTACAGGGCTAATGAATCTGAGGAGGCCACCCGAGATGCCATTGCGAAGATCCAAAAGGACGTGGTGGATCGGAGTTCGATCAGCGCTCTGGCGGATGGCGTGATTCTCGGAAACGAGCCACCTCCGAAGAGGGATAATCCCGGCAAGGATAAGACGACGGAGAACAAGCGCCGCAAGGTCGGGTACCTCTTCTTCGCCGCCCAGATGGAAGGTGACGCGTGGGGAGAGAAGATGTTTGGGGAAGATGTTTGGAAGCAGATCAAGATCGACGAGCCAAAGAAGCTGGCTAAACTGAAGAAGTAGATCACGCTACTGAGACTTCCTTACGTGATCGGTTCCGCTCTGTTTTCCTACGACTCCACGTATCTATCATTGCCAGCATCCGTTCTTAGACCTCATTTCTGCTCTTCTCGTGACGTTGATACCTCTTTTCCTTCTTTTTAATTTTCGCTGGTCTACATCAACTTTTAGAGTCACGTCATAGTCATAGGGACGTCTGTAGTTCCATTAGAATTTTTACACCCTCTGTACATCGTAACCTTCGCCTATCATACCAATAGGATCGTGTTCGAAACCGGCTTGTCGATAACAGTGCTGCGACGGCTTAGACAAAATACGCGAACAAATCTCGAAAGTGCTTACTCACTTTGGAGTATATTGTTACCTGGCACACTAGTCAGTGTAACGTGGGAATCTTTCGAAAATCAGGGTTAGCTACAGACTATGATGCCAAGCGAGAAAGTAATCACTGCGCCGCCAGAGAGCACTTCCCTCCACCTTTCCTTTCTTCTGTTCTAGATTCTAAATCCTCCTTTAGAGTAACACCAAAGTTATTGGAACGTCTATGTTAAGAATGGGAATATCTCGAAAACAGGGGAATGTGTCGATCATCAAAGCATGCCACAGATATATCCGAAGCAAGAGAAGACTTAGGGTTGCACTCGCGTCACGCCTAATGTCCACGAGCGAAATCCTGAGTAGGTTAGTTACTGGAAAACAATCACATAAGCAATCAAGAAAACACCGTGGTACAGACCTCTAACCCTCGAGAATTGAAGTCCATTTTCACGCCAAGCTTTCGAGCAATGCATGCAACAGATAAAGCTGGCACCCTCGGAATTTTATACCCGCATTCGCCGTCTCCGTCCACCGCATTAAGGCTGGACAAGATGCAGCATTTCTGATATGCGTAGACTGCGCCGGCAGAGAGCACCCGCACCAGTACACCAGCACCTTCTAAGCCACTTCGGAAACCTAGATAGTGTTTAGAGTACTGGCATGTCGGAATATTATTCCCCATGGTCTGCGGAGGATTGTGTTCGAGCGAAACAATTGGATTTGAGAACAATTTGAGACGTTGACAAACTATGTATCGGAAACAAAGTATCAGAGACAATATTGTATAGGGCTCTATCAAGGGGCCAAAACAGTACAGAGCTCTGTAGTCCGAAGTAACCGAACTGTATTTACAAGCTGGAAATGGAAGACTCGAAAACTACAACATGCGACAGACTATAGTACAGAGCTGCAGCAAACTCGAAACTACCCTCCCCCTACTGCATCACTCGTTGCCTCCCGCATTCCCCTTCCGCCGTCCCCCTTTTGTGGGCTGGGGAAAATGGAGCATCCCACCCTGATACGCGTAAAGATTTTGGTTTGCGTGACAGCACTCGCACCAGTACACCAGCACCCTCGAAACAACCTTGGCCATTTCGATAGCCTCTGCCTCCCCGGGCTCGGGATCCACAAGGCCGAGAATGGCCTTGGTGAGCACCACTTCCCAATCCGCCTTCTCGTGCGTTAGGTTCTTCACGGCTTTTAAAGTCCACACTCCAAGCCAAGCAGTAGAAGTTGCTTGACTCGCAAGGCTTGCCTCGTTGAGCGTGCCACGAGCCGCCTCATCCGCACCCTCCGCCCAGTCCTGGTGGGGAATGCCGATCGAGGCACACCACAAGGTGTAGAGGGTTGCAGCTACTCCCGCTGCATAGACCGCGGGAGTGACATTCGCGGGGGGCGACACCAGCCCACTCCCTCCGTGTACCAGGGCCTGTCCAATCCCTGTGCAAACGGCCACCTGGAAATGTGCGCCGTCCTTCACCCGTGCATTTGTCTTGTTCATGACGTTTTCGAAGCTGCACAGGAGAGGTGGGTACACGGTTAGTGTGGGAAAACGGGAAAATGTACTAAAACTTGCTAAGTCGAATCGAATACTCACTTCTCGAACTTGTCGAGGTTCAATTCGTTCATGACACTCCAGACACCCGTCGGGAGGTCACGAGCGAAATCGAGGTGGACCGCCCACAAGCCAAGCTCGGCAGGATCCAAGCCGTAATGTGGCATGTCGGTGTCGGGGAAGTAGGTCATCCAACAGACGGCCACTGTGAAATCTCGCCGCTTCCTCTCCTTGTAGCTCCCCATGTTCCTCTTCACACCTCTAATGGTTTGCTCCGAGTTGAAGCGCACGGACACCACTTCCCCCTTCTTGTTCTTCTTTTCGCGTGTGGTAAGACCACTCGATCTGAAATGCCTTGTTTCTCCCCACCGCTTCCCTAGCTCATCTGGTAGCGCATCCTTTCTTCGCGGTGCCACCTCTCCCGTCGCCTCCCCCAGCGTTGGTTGAACGTTCTGATTTCCCGACACATTTTCACCAACACATTCATCTGACGCAGCTGTCCCCAAAGACCCCTCATCCGCGTCGAAGTTCATTCCTGCCTGGTCAATGCGTGGCCTTTTCGATGGCGGTTGAGTCTCTAAAACTCCATGGCCTGTCAGTTGTACTGAACCCTGCCGCTCCTCCACGAGGTCCACTACTTGCAGTGGTTCATCGAGAACCACTTGAAGAATCCCGGCCCACCCTTCTCCTTCCGCCTCTCCTCCGTGCCGTTGCTCCGCTGCCCCTTCCTCATCCTCACCCGCAATCCGTCGCCTCTCGTTTTCCATTTTCTCTGTTTCTGCCTCTAACTCCTTTTGTTGCCTCTCCTCTTCCTCCTTTGCGGCTTCCTCCAACCGTGCAATACGCTCGATCTCCTCCATGGCTTTCTGACGCTCTATTTCGAGGTCTCGTTTACGCTTTGCTGCCTCCAACCGCTTTGTTTCAGCGATCTTTGCAATCTGCTGACGCTTAGCTTCTAACTCCGCCTCCCTTTGTGCCCGCCTCCTTTCCATCGCCCTCGCCTCCTCCTTCTGCCGCTTCTCCTCCTTTTCGCGTTCCGCCTTCCTCGCCTCCTCCCTCTTCCGCTCTTCCTCTTCTTCCTGACGCTTCTCCTCCTTTTCGCGTTCCGCCTTCCTCGCCTCCTCCCTCTTCCGCTCCTCCTCCTTCTGCCGCTTCTCCTCCTTTTCGCGTTCCGCCTTCCTCGCCTCCTCCCTCTTCCGCTCCTCCTCCTCCTTCTGCCGCTTCTCCTCCTTTTCGCATTCTGCCTTCCTCGCCTCCTCCCTCTTCCGCTCCTCCTCCTCCTTCTGCCGCTTCTCCTCCTTTTCGCGTTCCGCCTTCCTCGCCTCCTCCCTCTTCCGCTCCTCCTCCTCCTTCTGCCGCTTCTCCTCCTTTTCGCGTTCCGCCTTCCTCGCCTCCTCCCTCTTCCGCTCCTCCTCCTCCTTCTGCCGCTTCTCCTCCTTTTCGCGTTCCGCCTTCCTCGCCTCCTCCCTCTTCCGCTCCTCGTCCTCCCTCCTTCTGCCGCTTCTCCTCCTTTTCGCGTTCCGCCTTCCTCGCCTCCTCCCTCTTCCGCTCCTCCTCCTCCTTCTGCCGCTTCTCCTCCTTTTCGCGTTCCGCCTTCCTCGCCTCCTCCCTCTTCCGCTCCTCCTCCTCCTTCTGCCGCTTCTCCTCCTTTTCGCGTTCCGCCTTCCTCGCCTCCTCCCTCTTCCGCTCCTCTTCTTATCTTGCCGCTTCTGCTCCCTTTCGCGTTCCGCCTTCCTCGCCTCCTCTCTTCTCCGCTCCTCTTCTTCCTCTTGCCGCTTCTGCTCCTTTTCGCGTTCCACCTCCCTCGCCTCCTCCCTCTTCCGCTCCTTGTCCTCCTGCTGCCGCTTCTCCTCCTTTTCGTGTTCTGCCTTCCTCGCCTCCTCCCTCTTCCGCTCCTCCTCCTCCTTCTGCCGCTTCTCCTCCTTTTCGCGTTCCGCCTTCCTCGCCTCCTCCCTCTTCCGCTCCTCCTCCTCCTTCTGCCGCTTCTCCTCCTTTTCGCGTTCCGCCTTCCTCGCCTCCTCCCTCTTCCGCTCCTCCTCCTCCTTCTGCCGCTTCTCCTCCTTTTCGCGTTCCGCCTTCCTCGCCTCCTCCCTCTTCCGCTCCTCGTCCTCCCTCCTTCTGCCGCTTCTCCTCCTTTTCGCGTTCCGCCTTCCTCGCCTCCTCCCTCTTCCGCTCCTCCTCCTCCTTCTGCCGCTTCTCCTCCTTTTCGCGTTCCGCCTTCCTCGCCTCCTCCCTCTTCCGCTCCTCGTCCTGCTTCTGCCGCTTCTCCTCCTTTTCGCGTTCCGCCTTCCTCGCCTGCTCCTTTTTCCGCTCCTCCTCCTGCCACTTCTCCTCCTTTTCGCGTTCCACCTTCCTCGCCTCCTCCTTTTTCCGCTCCTCCTCCTCCTTCTGCCGCTTCTCCTCCTTTTCGCGTTCCGCCTTCCTCGCCTCCTCCTTCTGCCGCTTCTCCTCCTTTTCGCGTTCCGCCTTCCTCGACTCCTCCTTTTTCCGCTCCTCCTTCTGCCGCTTCTCCTCCTTTTCGCGTTCCGCCTTCCTCGCCTCCTCCTTCTGCCGCTTCTCCTCCTTTTCGCGTTCCGCCTTCCTCGCCTCCTCCCTCTTCCGCTCCTCCTCCTCCTTCTGCCGCTTCTCCTCCTTTTCGCATTCCACCTTCCTCGCCTCCTCCCTTTTTTGCTCCTCTCTCCGCCGCTTATCCTCCTTTTCGCGTTCCACCATCCTTGCCTCGGCGGCTGTACCCGCCGGTTGGTTTTCCGTCACTCTCCCGCTACTAACAGTCCCAGGCCGGTCCTCCACCCTCGTATTTCCCAACCTGCTCTCAGCCCGCCTCTTCTTTGCAGCCGCCGCTTGCGCCGTATGAATTGCTTGCCGCTTCCGCGCTTCAGCCGTCCTCCTCTCCACGCTCTCCTCCTCCTTCTCTTTCTGCACTTTCTTTGCTGCGTACGTCTCTCTCCAGTTTCTCCTCACTGGTTCAGACAAGTCAATATCTGCCACACCAGCGCCCGTCTCACCCGCCTCACCAGCGTCACCCGCCTCACCCTCGGACGTCGCGGCAAACCTTTCCATCACTCGTTGTGCTGCGGAGATTGGGATGTCCGGGGAATCTGCTTCGGGCTGCGTTCGCGAAGGCCTTGGTGTGGCCTCTGCTCCGGCGGTGGGTGGTTTTCGGACTTTGATGGGTCCAGTCAGCCCTTTGAGCTTTGTTGACAGTCCAGAAAGCGCCTTCTGAATCTTGGTGAAAGTCAGATTGTTCTGGTCGTCGGCTGTTCTGAGATCCTCCCACACTGTGTATACACTGTTGTCAATAGCTGCTTGCAGGTGTTCCATGGAGCTGGATGTGATCGTGGCCTCCAGCGACGATCGCTCTATCACCTGCTCAACCACACTCTTCAGCTTCACCCCTAAGTTCTCGAAAAAACCCTCTAACTTTTCCTGCAATGCTCCCACAGCCGCTGCTGCAGCTGCGCGACCCGCATCAGCTGCTGCCGCTCGTGCCTCGGCGACAGAGGTCGAAACAACAGTACGCAATTGGTTTAGCTCGTTGCGTTCCCGGACCACCTCAGCCTTGAGCTCGTGGTACTCGTGAGTTAGATCATCGTAGTCCTGCATGTGGCGCATGTCCCAACCCTGCATCTGCAACCCAAACTCGCGAATCTCTGCCATGCAGTCGCTGAGACGAACACGTTGCTCCGACGAAGTCCTGGCCACGGACCTTGCCACCAACGTCAAACGCCGCATTAGCTCTGCTGTGGTACGCACCCTGCCGCCAGCTGCGATGCGGTCGCCAGCCTCCTCAAACCCTCGCTCCGTCTCCTCGAAAACCTGGGGCCCCGCATTCTCCAGTCCCGCCAGTTCCGTCTCCACAGCCACCCATTCACCATCCTCTAGTTCCTCTGCATGCACCGCAGCAGGATTCTCCGCCGCTCGTGGATGATGCCTCTGCATAGGGAGCGCACTCGCCGCACTCTCTATTTCCTCGTCCACCCGTCCTCCCGCATGTCTCTGCTGATTCTCCCTGTGTCGCACTCCCTCCATTCCCCATCCCACCCCACGCCAGACCTGATCCTCCGCCATTCTCTCACCCTGCCGCGTTCCACGTGCTTCACCCTCTCGCCTACCAGCTTGCCTTGACTGCTCGACCCTCCTACGGTCTCCCTCGCCGACCCTGTTTCGAGCTGCTTGATCATCACGCCGGCCACCTTCCCGCTGTATTACCTGTCTTGTTCCGCCAGTTCTCAATCCCGGTAAACCAACATCCGCTGCCCGACCAACAGTCGTCCCCTAATGCCCCTCGGTTGGGTGGTCGCCAACCACCACTTGCCGAGCTCCTTCCCCTGCATCCGGCCCCAACTGCGCTTGAAAGACCCTCGCGCCCCTATGGCCATCGATCGTGTGACGAGTTCCATCCCCACGCCGCTGCCCCCCAGCACCTTGTTCATTCAACCCAACCTCTCTCTGCCTTTCGTGCCTCTGTGTAGTGCCCCCTATCCCATGCCGCTCATTCTCTATACGTCGATCCCTCTGACGCTCCACACCCTGATGCTCACCGGCTTCCTCCGTCTGTTTGGCCAGTTGCCTCTCGCGCTCAAGCCTTTGAAGCTCTTTCCTTCTGCGTTCGCTTTCGAGTCTCTTCCGTTCCCGTTCCTGCCTCTGCCGCGGTTCCTCCCTTTCGCGCGCTTCTCGCTCCTCGGTCTCGACCACCAGCCTCTGTCGCTCTGGATCCTCCACCCTCGCCTCCTTTTCGCGCGTTTCTCGACCCTTCGCCTCCAGCCTCTTCCGCTCCCGTTCACGTGTCCTCTCTCCGCCGCTTTTCCTCCTGTTCGCGCTCTGCCTTTTTCTCCTCCTCCCTGTTCTGCTCTTCCTCTCTCTGCCTCTTGTCCTCCTGTTCGCGCTCAGCCTGCTGCTTCTCCTCCCTCTTCTGCGCCTCCTCCCTTCGACGCTTCTCCTTTTCGCGCTCAGCCTTTCTTTCCTCCTCCCTCTTCCGCTCTTCCACCTCCCTCTGCCGCTTCTCCTCCTGTTCGCGCTCTGTCTTTTTCTCCTCCCTCTTCCGCTCTTCCTCCTCCCTCTGCCGCTTCTCCTGTTCGCGCTCAGCCTCCTCCCTCTTCCGCTCTTCATCCTCCCTCTGCCGCTTCTCCTCGTTTTCGCGCTCCACCTTCGTCGCTTCCTCCCTCTTCCGCTCATCCTCCATCTTCCGCTCGTCCTCCCTCTGCCGTTTCTCCTCCTTTTCGCGCTCAGCCTTCTCCTCCCTCTTCCGCTCTTCCTCCTCCCTCTGCCGCTTCTCCTCTTGTTCGCGCTCTGCCGTCTTTTCCCTCTTCCGTTCTTCATCCTCCCTCTGCCGCTTCATCTCCTTTTTGCGCTCCATCTTCGTCGCTTCCTCCCTCCCCCGCTCATCCTCCCTCTTCCGCTCATCCTCCTGCCGTTTCTCATCCTTTTCGCGCTCAGCCTTCTCCCTGTTCCGCTCTTCCTCCTCCCTCTGCCGCTTCTCCTCCTGTTCGCGCTCAGCCTTCTCCTCCCTCTTCCGCTCTTCATCCTCCTTCTGCCGCTTCTCCTCGTTTTCGCGCTCCACCTTCGTCGCTTCCTCCCTCTTCCGCTCATCCTCCTGCCGTTTCTCATCCTTTTCGCGCTCAGCCTTCTCCCTGTTCCGCTCTTCCTCCTCCCTCTGCCGTTTCTCCTCCCTTTCGCGCACAGCCTTCTCCTCCCTGGTCCGCTCTTCCTCCTTCCTCTGCCGCTTCTCCTCCTGTTCGCGCTCTGCCTTGTCTTCCCTCTTCCGTTCTTCATCCTCCCTCTGCCGCTTCTCCTCCTTTTCGCGCTCCATCTTCGTCGCTTCCTCCCTCTTCCGCTCATCCTCCCTCTTCTGCTCATCCTCCCTCTGCCGTTTCTCCTCTTCGCGCTCAGCCTTCTCCTCCCTCTTCCGCTCTTCCTCCTCCCTCTGCCGCTTCTCCTCCTGTTCGCGCTCTGCCTTCTCCTCCCTCTTCCATTCTTCATCCTCCCTCTGCCATTTCTCCTCCTTTTCACGCTCCAGCTTAGTCTCTTCCTCCCTCTTCCGCTCATCCTCCTGCCGTTTCTCCTCCTTTTCGCGCTCAGCCTTCTCTTCCGCCCTCTTCCGCTCTTCCACCTCCCTCTGCCGCTTTTCCTCCCGTTCGCGCTCAGCCTTTTTCTCCTCCTCCCTCTTCCGCTCTTCCACCTCCCTCTGCCGCTTTTCCTCCAGTTCGCGCTCAGCCCTTTTCTCCTCCTCCCTCTTCCGCTCTTCCTCCTCCCTCTGCCACTTTTCCTCCCGTTCGCGCTCAGCCTTTTTCTCCTCCTCCCTCTTCCGCTCTTCCACCTCCCTCTGCCGCGTTTCCTCCCGTTCGCGCTCAGCCTTTTTCTCCTCCTCCCTCTTCCGCTCTTCCACCTCCCTCTGCCGCGTTTCCTCCCGTTCGCGCTCAGCCTTTTTCTCCTCCTCCCTCTTCCGCTCTTCCACCTCCCTCTGCCGCGTTTCCTCCCGTTCGCGCTCAGCCTTTTTCTCCTCCTCCCTCTTCCGCTCTTCCACCTCCCTCTGCCGCGTTTCCTCCCGTTCGCGCTCAGCCTTTTTCTCCTCCTCCCTCTTCCGCTCTTCAACCTCCCTCTGCCGCGTTTCCTCCCGTTCGCGCTCAGCCTTTTTCTCCTCCTCCCTCTTCCGCTCTCCACCTCCCTCTGCCGCTTTTCCTCCCGTTCGCGCTCAGCCTTTTTCTCCTCCTCCCTCTTCCGCTCTTCCACCTCCCTCTGCCGCGTTTCCTCCCGTTCGCGCTCAGCCTTTTTCTCCTCCTCCCTCTTCCGCTCTTCCACCTCCCTCTGCCGCGTTTGCTCCCGTTCGCGCTCAGCCTTTTTCTCCTCCTCCCTCTTCCGCTCTTCCTCCACCCTCTGCCGCTTTTCCTCCTGTTCGCGCTCAGCCTTTTTCTCCTCCCTCTTCCGCTCTTCCTCCTCCTTCTGCCGCTTTTCCTCCTTTTCGCGCTCCATCTTCCTCGCCTCCTCGCTCTTCCTCTCGTCTTCTTCCCTTTGCCGCAAGTCCTCCTTTTCGCGCTCGACCTTCCTCTCTTTCTCCCTCACATTTTCTTCCTCCCTCTCCCTGTCCCCCTCCATCGAACTCACCTCTCGCTCCTGGTCCTCGAGTCTCATCCGCTTCTGTTCCACCCTCTGATTCGCCTCTTCCCCCTCGCGTGCTTCCCGCCCCTGATCATACTTCTTCTTTGTTCTTGCCTCCCGCCTCTGATACACCACCCTATTCTCACGTTCCTCTCTCTGCACCTCCTCCGATTCGCCTACGACATTCGGACTCCCCTGCCTCATGTCCGTACCCTGCCCCTGCTCTAGTTCATCATTCTCGACCGAGAGCTGCACTGCCTCAATACCCATTACTAACTCCTCCATCCTCTCCCCCTCCCCCCTCTGTTGTAGGGCATCCGATCCGCAACGCTCGGCCTTATCCTCTGGTTCACTCTGCTGCGCCTCCCTCATTCCACGCAAGATCTCGCGCGCACTCCTCTGAAACGGTTCCTCCTCTCTATCCATCCTCTGACGCTCATCCGTTACGCTCTGACGCTCGTTGGCCAGACCCATTCGTGCGCCGTCAGCAACCATGGCCCCCAACGCGACTATTTTCGCATCAATAAAGGGCGGGGCACCCGTGTCCTCAGCAGCGTCCCCGACGTGCCCTAGGTTGTGCAACTCTCCCGCACTCTCCTCAACACCAGCTTCAAGTCGCTTAAAATACTTTTTGCAGCTGGTCACTATGTCCTTGAATATATCCTCTCGCCGGTAGGGTGGTTTTCCGAGAACCCTAAATTTATCGTCTCGATCATGCTGTAAGAGAATCGAGTCAAACTGATCGAGCATTTTACGCCACTGGTACGCTACATGAGAACCGCTTCCGACCTCCCTCGAGGAGACCATTGGAGTTAGCTTCTGCATGAAAGGGAAATGGAGCAGGTTAGCTCTTGTCCTGTTTAGAGTTCCAATGTACAGGATGAGTTTGCACCGTAAACTTACTGACGCACTGTCGAGCCTCCACCCGCTCGTAATCCGTCTCCTGATGTCGCGGAATGTTTCCTGCACCTCCGAGTCTCCATTGATTGCTTCTCCTCTAGAATACTCCGTCAAGAGCTGCACCTCCAGCCATCTGCTCAACATGTGGGGTTTCGACAAAATTAGGCTCTGATCTGCCGTACCGTCATCAAGCGCATGTGACGAGCGACAGTAGCTAAATCTTACTTAAAAACTTGTAGGGCGAGGTCGCTGTGCTTGTGTGGTGGAGAATTCGATTTGGGGTCGAAATGCAGAAGACGCGTCGCAACCGAAAGATTCGGGTGGTCGGCCAGACTGTCGGGCCGAACAAGCATGAAAAGGCTACAGCGCGCTCCAGGTTCGGCAGTCATGCTGCATGGGGCGGTGGGGTGAAAGGTTAGCCAGCGCGTAAAAGCTCGAACAGTCGCTGTATGTTCAGAGCAATAAATATTGACACCGTAACCTATGAAATTCGAGCTTACCTTGACCACAGCGGAAAGACTACGAGTTGCTTGCCAAGCACACCATCGAGTCTGCCAGGACCCATGGGTTTGAAAGGTTGTTTCGCCCTGGCCGCATTTACTGTACTCATGGGGATGATTTCCATTTTCGAAAGCTGCTCCGCGGTCAGCCTCTCCTTTGCAATCTTCCTGCAAGAGACAACACACGTAGCTTTCAGAGATCAGAGCAGCGCAACACAACACATCCGTATTCGCGGAAATATTTCTCAAAATAGAGATCTAAGCGCCTTTCGAGAACCGATCGCCTCTGTTGAGCAGTAGAATAGAGGAAACTACATCTCGGAATATGGGTAAGACGTTGGAGCGCCTAGAGAGTTTTTCGCTCGATCGCTACTTGTACTCTACACGTGACAGAGAGCCTGTAAATCTCGAAACGTGACATCTCTAGCCGAGAATCAATACTACGAGGGCATCTTACACCATAACAAAGTTGAGCATATTCTCGGTCCATTCCCCACGCTTGTGTCGCATGTTCTCGAACTCTAAACGAGAGAGGCGCACACGCAAGCCAGCAGCCTCTACTTCCATCGAAGGCTCCATTGACGAAGTGGAGGAAACAGGGAGGCTGGGATCTAAGGAAGAAGCTGGACAAAAACTGAAAGAGAAGATGTAAAATGAAAAAATGACCTCCGTTGGGCATTTATACCCGCCCCCCTCCGACCTGAGCCTGAACTTTGAGGTCGTGTTCAAACATTTGACCCTACATGGTTGTGGCGACAAAAAGGTTGCATTTAACAATGGCAGTGCCACCCTTAGCCATGAAACCAGTACTGACCCGCGATCTAAAAGCCCCTCGTATGGGCACAATCTCAAGTTGTACTGCACTCTGAAAATGCGTCAGCGACAGATTTCGACCAATAATTATCCTCCCCACGCAAATTTCGAGAGTTATCCTTTGAGCCGCCACGTGGATGTAAGTGATTTCGAGTTCGAGTGCATGCAAGGATGGTTGAATTCGAAAATTGCCCAAATTCCATCGCCTAATCGCTATTATACAACTCGAAATTGGGCTACTAAGTTCGGTGCATGTGCCTCGTCGAAAATGTACCTCGTATGCGCCGAAAAAGCAGTTCCATCTCGGGGAAGTCACCCGTATGTCAGATCCAGTCTCGAAAATCACCACCCCTTTTTATGCACTACTACAATCTACACCTTTGACAGTAATGTGTAAACTTTAATCAAGCCAGATTGCAAGCAGGCCTAACAAAACACATACAAGTGCCCCAAAACCCACACCAGAAAGGACAATGCAAGGAGGCAATCCATGTGTAAGGCACATAATTACAACTCAACAACGCATTGAAAAAACACAAGCAAATATAGATGTTAGCTTTCACAAACCCCCCCTAATTGTAATAGACGTGTAAATCATCTTTTTAACCAAAACCCAAAGGTTCAAAACGATGGAAGCACTAGGACACTATGTTAAAGTGTATTGGGGGAGGTAAACATCTACATCATCATAAGAGAACACAGCAAATAGATGTTGAGAACACCCAAGCAGATCATCAAACGTTTTCCCCATTTTCTCTCATCTTATCGTTGGTTTGACGTGGCATGTGTGATGGGCAGGGCATTCCAAGCCTAACAATACATTGAATGTTATGAAATAACAAATACAAAAAAGCAATGTTGACTTGCTGTTTGCCAAAGAATGACCTAGCATGTACTAATGACATACTTGAGTTGGCTAACATGAACCAAAAAGTACTAACTGTTGCAAACTTTAAAAAAGATTAAAACAAGTAGAGCAGTACTAGGGGAGACAGATTCCAAAAAAAAAAACATGAAAAACCAAGCATATGTCCATGAAACCCCCAAAATATGACCATTTTGAGCTCCACATTTCAACCATTTGTATTGCCATCCCTGCAAAAAAAAACACTGAGACTGCATTGAATAGATACCTTAAGACATTCTTTATCCATTTCAATCATACAAACCCCCCCTTAAAACCACCCCATCATTCACATAATTCAGTAATACACATTGCATTGAGAATGAAATAATTGAAACAATTATACAGACTGACAGAATTTCGACAATCAAATACACTACAGTGTATCGCGCGGCTGTCGTCAGGCGCTTGCGATCTAACTGTTAGTCGCCTGTGTTCACGCTTAACGATACGGTAACCGGCGTCTCCGTCAACTGTTCACACTGGCGAAACAGTTGGCGAACTGGTTACCTTTCGCCAATCATCTATTTGGAATATGGGATATACTTCCCATGCGATCTGCCTGCCCTAGAAATATATTCGACAGCCAACAAGTGGTGGTGACCACCACTTGTTGACTGCTATGTGCCGCACTGTACTGTAGTGGTTTCCGGACTGTTGTGCCGTGGACACTCGTCTGCTCCATTCTCCCCTTGGTTGCTCAGAGACCCTCCCGAGCGGCTCAAAATATCCCGCGAAGTAAAGTTGCTCTCAGCGGCAAAGAGTCTAGGATTTCAACCAGAGCCTTACGAACCGCGACCAGAAAGTAGGGGCGGTTGGATCCCGCCCCGATGCTGCGCCGTGGCGTATTCTCCCTCATCCAGAACAAATCATGAACTCCCTGAACCACATCCGTTTACTTGGCTACAACTATATAATTCAGTCAGTTAGCATTCTAGACTCTAGTTTTGAATTTTCGATCAAGTACTTTCAAAGGGACATCACTGGAGTTATGCCACCACTGTTCGCCCCCAACGCTGTCCTACAACCTGCTTCCGTCCACGCTCCCGCCCCCCGCCCAACCTACCATTCAAACTCCAGCGGTAAGCAAAGCGATTTTACGTCAGTTTGTCTTGACTTTTACGCCATCATACTTTCTGGATATCTATGTTGGACCATTTCCTGACTTACCTTTGTTGCTTTTTGACAGATACAACGCCCTTGACGTCCTGCCAAACTATGCTGCACAAGACTCGTGGCAAGGACACGTGTTGGAGCGAGCAGTCTCTGCTGCTCACAAAGCTCCGCTGCGACATCAATCAGTTATCGAAAATCAGTCTACCTAGGAGATCGGCCACCACCACCATCCGCCCCCAACACCAGCATTCTACTCGCTTCCATCCACAACCCGCCCCCCGCCCTGCCTACCTCTCGATCTCCAGAGGAAAGCGTTGTTATGTCAGTTTTTCTTGATGTTTACACCATCACGTTTCCTGGATTTCAATGTTGGTACATTTACTGACTTATCTTTGTTGCTTTCTGACAGGCACAATGCCCTTAACATCCAACCGAACTCTTCAGCTTAAAGCTAATGGCAAGGACACGAGTCGGAGCGAGCAACCTCTGTTGCTTACAAGGCTCCGCTGCGTCATCAATCAGTCAACGAAATCAGTCAACCTTGGAGTCAATGGAGGCCGTGCTGTTTCGCCTGCGATCCGCGATCTGCAATGGAGGCCGTGCTGTTTCGCCTGCGACCCGCGTTTCGCCTCTAACTGGGAAGTATCTTTCCCCTTCTCTTCCCCTCGTTTCTCCCTTGTCGTTTTTTTTTTTTTTTTCGTTGTTTCAACACCCATCCACCGTTTCCATCCGCTTCGCACTCCACCGCCCCTCTGATACGTGTGGCTGCGGCTTGTAGATGTATAGCTTCTCCTCGGGTTGGGTAGAATAGCTCGCGTTGGGTTGAATAGTTTACAGTTACTGCCTCCGCCCTCTGCAGCCGCAGTCCACACGTATCATGGGCGTCGTTTCCCCGCCACGTTTTGTTTTCCACGTGCGTTTTCGCTTTCGCTTTCCATTCTCGCATTCGTTTTTCCTTCGTTCTCTTTTGCTTTCGTTTCTGCTATTTCCGTTTCTAACTTCGTGCCTTGTCTGTGTTTTCCCCGCTTTTCAGGAATACTGGGAGCTTCAAGGGAGCTTCATCGACCGCTTTTCTCCTGCGGGGCTGCTACTAACGATCTGCTGCAACCTGCGAGCTTCAAGGGAGCTTCAACGCTGCAAGCTGCGTTTTGCAAGCTTCAACTGGGAAGTGCCTTTCCTTTGTTTCCTCTCGTGTTTCGTTTGTTTCGTTGCTCAGCTCGTCGATTTCAATTTAATCCATCATTTCGCCATTGTTTCGTTTTGCATCTCGTTTTCGTGTACTTCACCGTCCCTCTGATACGTATGGCTGCAGTCCAGCAGATGATCCTCCGCGGGTTGGGTCGGGTTTGGGTAGAATAGCACAGCACGGTCCACAGCTCTCCTCCCTCTAGCTGGCTGCAGCCCATACGTATCATGGACGCTCATTTCACCGTTCGTTTTCTTCGTTTTTCTTTGTTTTTTTTATTTGAGTGAGCTGTTTACTAACTTCGTGCCTCTGCCTGTGTTCTCCCCCCCTCCCCGCTTTTCAGCAATACTGGGAGCGGGGTTTACTCTTCAGCGCCGCGCGACAGATCAGCCCTTCGCGGATCAGCAGTTGAAACAGCAGCAGAAGTTTCAACCGTCTTCATGGCAGCAGCAGCTCCATTGGTCTTCACGACAGCAGGAGCATCAACGATCTTCAGCGGAGTTGCAACCAGTTGAAGCCAAAACGTAAGTTTATCCATTGACAGCAACTATCTGTTACGTATTCTGTAGGATTGTTGCTTGCAAGTCATAAGCTTCAGTCACTAACGTCAATCTTGGGTTTTGTGCAGATAACGAGTTGCAAGGAGCTGCGGGAGCGGATCTCCCTTGGAGCGTGGGCCTTCACTCTCCAACGGGATTGCAGCAAGGGATTTTCACGGGAACTTTAAGGAAGCTTCCACCACTTGAAGCTTCAACGATTGAAGGCTATTCGTAAGCTTTTCCACCTTCAGCTATCTATTACGTTTTGTATAGAGTGTTGCTTGCAAGATATATTTTTCAATCACTAACTTTGTTTGTTTGTTTGTTTGTTTGTTTGTTTTTTTTTTTTTTTTTTTTTTTTTTCGGCGGAACTTGGATCAACACCTTTAAGCGGCGGATCTGAACCTTGGAGCTTCAAATCTGCACCCTCGAGCTTCGGATGCTCCTTGGCCGATTAACTCAAGCTCAATCACTGGTGAGTTTTCCAGAAGCCATTTTAGATTTCTACCTTTTTATTGCTTTCATTGCCATTTTCAATTTCTAACTTTACTCCGTTGATCTGTGCAGATCAAAGGCGGAACTCCTTGGCTTGGCGGAACAACCCACTGGCGCGCGGATCAACCCCCGCTGGCGCGCGGATCAACCCCCTTGACGCGCGGATCAACCCCCTTGACGCGCGGATCAACCCCCGCTGGCGCGCGGATCAACCCCCTTGGCGCGCGCAACAACCCCCTTGGCGCGCGGATTAACACCCTTGACGCGCGGATCATTAGTCTTCACGGCAGCAGCAGTTTCGAGGTCTTTACGGCAGCAGCGGTTCCAATGGTCTTCAACGGCAGCAGCAGTTTCGATGGTCTTCAACGGCAGCAGCAGTTTCAACTTCTTCAATGGCGGCAGCAGTTTTAACTAACGGCAGCAGCAGTTCCAACTTCTTCAACGGCAGCAGCAGTTTCAACTTCTTCAACGGCAGCAGCAGTTTCAACGTCTTCAACGGCAGCAGCAGTTTCAACGTCTTCAACAGCAGCGGCAGTTTCAACGTCTTCAACAGCAGCGGCAGTTCCAACGTCTTCAACAGCAGCAGCAGTTTCAATGGTCTTCAACGGCAGCAGCAGTTTCAATGGTCTTCAACGGCAGCAGCAATTTCAACGTCTTTAACGGCAGCAGCAGTTTCAACGTCTTCAACAACAGCGGCAGTTTCAACGTCTTCAGCGGCAGCGGCAGCTTCAACGTCGTCAGCGATAGCGGCAGTTTCAACGTCTTAACCGGTAGCAGCAGTTTCAACGTCGTCAACGACAGCAGCAGACAATGGTAGCAGGACAACGGTAGCAGGACAACGGTAGCAGGACAACGGTAGCAGGACAACGGTAGCAGACACCACCCCCTTTAACGGCAGAAGATGAAAACCCCTTTAACGGCAGCAGATAAAAACCCCTTTAACAGCAGCAGATAAAAACCCCTTTAACGGCAGCAGATAAAAACCCCTTTAACGGCAGCAGATAAAAACCCCTTCACGATATAGCAGATGTAGCAGGACAACACCGACGACGCAGCAGGACAACGCCGACGACGCAGCAGATGTAGCAGACAGCAGCCGCACTTAATTAGTCTAGCTGAAACGGCCGCACTGGATCAGCCGCGATTCTGTCAAAGGGAGCAGACGAAGGGGGGGAAACGGCTAAAACCCTTGGCAGAGCGGTGGCGAGGGGTTGACTGGGATGGTGGGTGGCGTGGAGAAACAAAAGGCAACTGAGTGTGCATGCTCAGGCCAAGAGGCTGTGGCATACGTTGCTCGGGAAGCCTCAAGGGGATTTGTGATGGAGGCTGGTCTTGACCAGCATGGTTCTGACTGCAGCAGAATCATGCTCGCAAGATACCACACACTCCAGGTAGCGATTCCCTTGGGGTGCCTCGGGCATCACAAGTTTTTCCTCACTGGCGTGGGTGAGGAGGACTTGATGTCACGGACTTTTCCACACTGGCGTGGGTGTGGAGGGTCCTTTCCTCTTGGTGCATTTTGAATCTTACGCTACTCGCCCTAACAGTCATTTCCTCAAAACCGTAATGCTGAGGAGGGGGTAGAGGAGTGGGGAAGCCGCTGTTAAGGGCTTGTAAGGAAGCTGCTGAGGGCTGTTAACGAAGCTGCTAAGGAAGCTACTAAGGAAGCCGCTAAAGGGTGCTAAAGAAGCTGCTAAGGGCTGTTAAGGAAGTTGCCAAGGAAGCTACCAAGGAAGCCGCCAAGGGCTTTTAAGGAAGCTGATAAGGGCTTCAAAGGAAGCTGCTAAGGGCTTCTTACGAAGCTGCTAAGGGCTGCTTACGAAGCTGCTAAGGGCTGCTTACGAAGCTGCTAAGGAAGCTGCTTAGGGCTGCTAACGAAGCTGCTAAGGAAGCTGCTAAGGGCCGCTGCCAAGGAACGAAGGGGTGAAGCAGCACAGAAGGGGTGAAGCAGCACAGAAGGGGTGAAGCAGCAGAGAAGCAGCCGGGGATTCATGGAGGTTTTTAGCCGAATGAACGGCAGTACCCTGCGTTAAGGGTCTTGGTCCGTCGGCAAACCCACTTAAGGGGGAGCTGGCGGGACGGATTTTTATCCTCCATGGCTAGTGCACGAGCCCACACCAAAAAAAAAAAAAAAATTGAAGTAGAGAAGGAGAGACGAGGTGAAGCAGAGAAGAGAGCAGGGGTGAAGCAGAGAAGCTGCTAAGGAGGGGGTGAAGGAGTGGGGAAGCTGCTAAGGGCTGCTAACGAAGCTGCTTAGGGCTGCTAACAAAGGTGCTAAGGAAGCTACTAAGGAAGCCGCTAAGGAAGCTGGTAAGAGCTTCTAAGGAAACTGCTAAGGAAGATGCTAAGGAAAGTGCTAAGGGCTGTTAAGAATGCTGCTAAGGAAGCTGCTAAGGAAGGTGCTAAGGGCTGCTGCCAAGGGAAGCTTTTAAGGATCAGAAAGGGGTGAAGCAGCAGAGAATGGGGAAAGAAGAGAAGGGGGAAAGAAGTGAAGGGGGAAAGAAGTGAAAGGGGGAAAGAAGTGAAAGGGGGGAAAAGGAGAGGAGGGGGGAAGAGGAGAAAGGGGGAAGAAGAGAAAGGGGGGAAGTGGAGAGGGGGGGAAAGAAGAGAAGGGGATGCAGAGAAGAGAAGGGGATGCAGAGAAGTCAAGGCAGTTTGCTGCTGAGGGGGGAAGGAAGTTGCTAAGGAAGCTGATAAGGGCTTCCAAGGAAGCTGCTAAGGAAGGTGCTAAGGGCTGCTGCAAATGGAAGCTTCTAATGATCAGAGAAGGGGTGAAGCAGCAGAGAAGGGTTGAAGCAGCAGAGAAAGGGTGGATCAGCAGAGGAGGGGGAAAGAAGAGAATGGGGAAAGAAGAGAAGGGGGAAAGAAGAGAAGGGTGAAAGAAGAGAAGGGGTAAAGAAGAGAAGGGGGGAAGAAGAGAAGGGGGGAAGAGGAGAAAGGGGGGAGGCAGAGAAGAGAAGGGGATGCAGAGAAGAGAAGGGGATGCAGAGAAGTCAAGGCAGTTAGCTGCAGATGGGGGAAGGGGGATGAGGGAGGTTGCAGAGTGCTGAGTACGTTACAATGCTTGTATTCATTGATCAGTTCTATTTATTGGATTTACATGTGACTGATCATCATTTGAGATTTCGGCACTCGATCTTTCTGGGAAGTGTATGACCTAATTTGAAAAGAATACAAGTGCATAGCAGTTGCTATGGGTATTGCTGGGACCATTTAGTCCCACAATCTATTCAGACAATTGCACTGTTGCTGCAGGAAGTGTTCTTAACTTGTTGGACCTTCATGTTGAGCATGCTGCTAACCTCTACTCGACACAAGCCATGGCCACCCAAACGGCACCCACCAAGCAACACACCGGTCAAGAACGCCACTACTCCACACGCACATCATCATCCCCACATGCTGCTACTGCTCTCCCTTGCTGTACATCTGCCAGGCCTCGCAGCTTCCTGAGCAGCCCTCTCACCTCATGGTCCGCCCACACCCCTTTCACCCTCATCTCCTCCTCTACCTCCCTCGCCGCCTCCTCCCACCCCCCTCCACTGCTACCCTCCCCATCTCCTCCTTCCCCCTTCCCTGCATGCACCTCAGCGCGTCGCAGCATGGCCCCTATGAGCATCTTGTACCAGGCCACTTCACAGCGGCCCCACATGGCCTCGCCTGCATGAATCGCCTGCCTCACGCCCTCCACGTGCCCTTCTGCTTTGAGTGCCTCCATCAGCCCGCGCAGCGCACGCCGCTTGATGGTTACCGGGGGCGTGGGGGGCTGTGAGCCGTGGTGGCGAGAAGGGTGGTGGGAGGGAAGGGCGTGATGAGGAGAGGCAGGAGTAGAGTTGTGATGCTGCACGGACCCAGGCAGGGATGCATGATGAGGAGTGTTTGGTGGGTTGGTGGTGACAGAGGAATCAACAGTTACAGGGGTCTCAGGAGCAGTGGCCAGTTGAGAGAGGAGGGCGGTGGCATGGGAGAGGCGTTGGGAGCGAGAGAGGCAGGAGAGGAGGAGGGAGAGCATGGCCGTGCCGCATGGAATGTTCGCCCTGCGCATGTCATCGACCAATCTCAGCGCAGCGTCTGGCATGTTTGCCCGCGTGTACCCCTTGAGAAGCGCGTTACAGGCATCCCGGTCAAGGCGACGAATGCAGGCACACAGAGAGGAAAAAGCCTCTTCAGCCATGGGTATGTCACCAGCCGCCACATGCGCTGCTATGCGCGCCACATGCATGGGTCGAGTCACTTTCACCCCCATCCCGCCCACCCTCCTCCACATTTCTTCCACCTCCCCTCCACGGCCCCCCTTCCCCGCCCGTCCCATGGCCATCCACAGGGCAGCACACGCAGCAGGGGATGGTGCTAAACCATCCTCCAGCATGGCATGGAAATATTTTTCTGCCCGGGGCAGCTGCCCGGTGTGAAGGAAGAGGCGGAGGAGGATGGAGTGGGTTTGGGCGGAGGGCAGCAGGCGGTGGTGGTGGTGCATGGCGTGTAGGAGGGCGTCAAGGCGGTGGGGCGCGGACGTGGGTGTGTGAGGGGGGTGGTGCAGGCAGTGGCGCAGGAGAATGTGGAAGGTGAAGAGAGATGGGGCGACGCCCTGCAGACGCACGGGGACAGGGAAACGGGTGTGGGAGAAGGTGAGCGACTGATAGCAAAGCTCCACACATCAAGAAGCCACATGTGAGATGAGAAAGGCTGCAGTTAGCATGCGGGCGTTTGGGAGGTGGTGCAGGCAGTGGCGCAGCAGAATGTGGAAGGTGAAGAGAGATGGGGCGATGCCCTGCAGACACACAGGCATGTGCATGGGGTAGGGACGTGGGAGTGGGAGGAGGGGAGAGTGAGAACAAGGGTGACAAGGGTCCACATGGAGAAGGCACATGTGAGATGAGAGAGGCTGCAGTCAGCAACGAGCCATCACTGCATGGGCATGCTGGAAACCAGCCTTGATCAGCGTTGACCAGCATTGACCCACGCCTTCATCACGTTCGTCAACCACCCTCACACCTTTCCCCTCACGAACCCCCACCCCTTTCTCACATCCCCCATCCCTTCAACCCACCTTCACTCTGGACATCATCCATCACTGCAGCAGCAGGGGCCAAACGCGACAGCACGGTGGAGAAGGCGAGCAGGCGTGCGTTGAAGGCACACGCCCAGCACTGCAGCCCCTGCTGCCTGCTGCCTCGTGCAGCCACTGCAGCCCCTCCTGCTCCTCATCGTCAATCACCCTCGCACCTTTCCCCTCGTGAACCCTTATCCCCACTCACATCACATCCCCCACCAACCACTCGTCTCACCTTCGCCTTCATCTCGTCCATGACGTCATCCATCCTCTGCATCACTGCAGCAGCAGAAGCCAGACGCGACGGCAGGGTGGAGAGGGCGACCAGGCGCGCGTTGAAGGAGCACACGCCCAGCGGCGCCCCTGCTGTGTCGTGCACCCACTGCAGCTCCTCCTGCAGCCTGCTGTGCTGGCCCATGCGCGCCAGCTGGTACAGCACTCCACTGTACGCCTGACGAGGGCATAAAAGAGGGAGAGAGAAAGCATGGACAAAGGAGGGGGGTTTATGGAGTATGGCGGTGCAATCCGCATGATCAGAATGGCATGTCATGATCAGAATGGCATGTCATGATCAGAATGGCATGTCATGATCAGAATGGCATGTCATGAAATCAACGAACACGCACAACAGCAGCAGCACGGTGTGGGGCATGCCGGGCATGGGAAGCACCTTGTCAGAGCGGGCGTAGCATGGCAGGGCGAGGAACGCATCTCTGGCGTCTCTCCATCTGCTGCACCGAGCCAGCCCGTCTATCAGCTCACACGCCTCCCACTCCGAGACCTCCCGCTCCACGTCCGCGCCCCCTGATTGGCTCTCCCGTTCATGCTGACGTGGACTGTGTTGCGCGCAGTGTGGGGAGAGGCGGGCCATGTGCCATTGGAGCAGCTGATGGGGGAAGAGAGGTGGGAGGCGAGGGGGGAGAACCAGGGAAGCGGGGAAGTGGGGAAGCGGGGAAGCGGGGAAGTGGGGAAGTGGGGAAGCGGGGAAGTGGGGAAGCGGGGAAGCGGGGAAGGGGAAGTGGGGAAGTGGGGAAGTGGGGAAGTGGGGAAGCGGGGAAAGAGAGCAAGGGATTCACACAAACGAGCGACAGAAGCGTTCTGTGATTAACCGCGAAATGGCGCTATGCAACAGCAGATGGTGGGTGAACGCGTCAATGAATCTGATGCATGGTGCATGGGTGCATGGGTGGGCATGGTTACATTACCTCGAGAGCATGCTGGTTCCGGTGCCTTTCCTTTAGTCGCCGCACCAGCAGCATCACGAGTCGCCGGTCCCACACTGCACCACCAGTGTCGTTGGTGCTACTGCTGCTGCTGCTGCTGCAATCTCTCTCATGGCTTGCTTGCACAGCCATGGTGCGAGCGGTAGGATGGGCGGGAGATGTGGGAGGGCGGTGGTGCGGTGGAACGCGCCAGGAGAGCAGGCGAGGCATGAGAGGGAGAGGGGGGGGATGGTGGCGGATGAATAACCACACCTGCTCCAGCCTCTTTGCTTCCTCCCTGCTCACTCTCCCTCTGCCGCAGCTGCTCATTTCCTGCTCTCTCTCGTCGTCGTGCTCCCAGTCACCGCTGCTATAGTCACCGCCACTGCCATCACCACCACTGTCAGCACAGTCACCATCTCTTTCCCCCATCTGCCCCACTGATCGTGCAGGACCAAGCCCTGGCTCCCATCCTCCCTCCCCCTGCTGCATAGCCATTGTCGTATCAGTCACTGCTCCTGTCCCACTTGCACCTCCTCCTACTCTCCCTTGCTCCAATCGCCCAACCCACTCTCCCTCGCGAGCGTCTCCTATAAGCTTCCGTGGCTGTGATGCAGGTACGGGCTTCTGATGTGTGTGATGTGAGTGGAAACGTACAAGGCTGGGCGAAGGGGTGGGTGACTGAGGCGGGCGCAGGCTTGCTACTGGTGAGGAAATTGAGGGCACTGAGGGCGGTGAGGGAAAGGATGTTGGGGACAAGGCGGATTGAGGGAGGAAGAGCGAGTGCTTAAGGGGGAAGAGAGGGGACGGGAGGAGGAAGCTGTGGGGTAGGAATGGAGGCTTACTGGGAGCAGGAGGGAGAGAGTTGGAGGCAAGGAAGAGAACGGGGTGAGTGAGGGAGCCGGTGACAGGGAGACTGATGGAACTGGGGAGAGTGGGAGGGCAGGAGACAGGCGACCAGCAACTGCTGTCAAGGGAGTGAAACCCATCAGAGGAATCTTCATCGTCTGATGCGGGGGAGGCGCGAGAAGAAGCACTGCAGCCTGGCATGGGGGATGTGGAGGCTCGTCTGAATGCACCACTTCCGCCACCATTTCTGCCGTGGGTGCACCAGTGGGGAAACATCTCTCCCCACGCGCACGACAGCCACATGCTGCAGACAGAGACGAGTCAACAGAGAGGTACGATTCGCAGGAGTGGTAAGAGAAGTGAGAAGGAATCAGGATGGACAAGGAATTTGACAAGGAGGCGTTTGCGTTGATTGATTTCAGTTGAACTGCAGTCGCTTCAATTCGGCCAGCTTCCCTTATTGTAATTGCAACTCGCTTCAAGTGACTGCAGGTGGAACTATACAAGGTCCGTAACATGCAGTAGCTTCACATCGCACCCTGGAATAAACTTCAAAAGGTTTCACACGGGTTTAAAGTAAGCCTGACAGCTTCAGATACCCTCACGGGCCTCACATAGCGCAGGTATAAACAGAAGGCTCCAAACGGCTTAGTATATTTCAACTGGCTTCACGTAACTCTGAAAATTGCTTCAAGTAATCCAAGCTGACAAATTTGCCGAATGACGTCACATATTGGAGTGGAAGGTGGCAGGCGCACCTTCGCAGTTGTTGCCAGTGAGCGGGCCACGCGCGACACAGCACCCGCCATCGCACCACCGTCGCCGCGGCTGCGGCACCTGTCGCCACCGCAGAGACGGGTGAGGCTCCCGGTGACGGACGAGGCAGCGACGAACCGTCAGAGTCGTTCACGCGTGATGCATCTGGGAAAGCTGAGACAGTACTTGACTCGAACGGCTGGAAATCCGCATCCACAAGCCTTTGGAAGCACCTCTCACTAGCGTGATCACATTGTGCGGCGAGACTCGGATCGCGTAGAGTGACTTTCGGATCGCTGGATAACCGATCGATACTAGAATGGCCGCCATGGAAGAAAGTATTCTGATAGACTTCCATCATCATGCGAATGGTGCGAGGACTTCGCAATGGGGTGAGGGATTGACCTGTTTCACCTCATGAAGTGACACAGCCTCGCTAAAAGCTGGTCTCAGTGAGAAAGGAACGCTGCGATTGCGAACAAGGCCCACTTCAGAACCTACTGGAAAATTGTGTCGGCACACCGTTTAGGAATTCTTCTCCCACTAACATGGAGATAAGAACGTGCAATTCCACTACTTACATACAAGCACAAAACCAACAAAATTTATGCAATCACACGCAAGTAGCGACTGCAACAGGCGTGAATGAAGCAGGTGTATACAGATTGAAGCCTTTAATATCTTGGCTTGCTTCTCCTTTCCCTGCGCATCATTGTAGAATAAATACGGATTTGTGAGACCATAGCACAAAATGGAGACAATCAAAGGTGAGGTGTTGTCAGCCTATCATCCCAATCAGCTGATGCTCTTTCCGACACCCCTTCTCCATTCCTCCCCTTCTCCCCCACCCCTTCCCTTCCTCCTTCCTCCTCCTCCCCCCTATCTCCCCCTTCAGCACTGACCTTCTGCCACCCTGTTTCCCCCGTGGCCCCGTGGTAAAAGCCCAGTTGACAGCGATGGGTTGGGTGAGCAGCTCTGCACCGTTAAGGTTCTCAATGGCCGCTGATGCCTCCTGCCTGCTCTCATACTCCACCAGTGCGTAGCCCTGGGGGTGGCGAGGGTTGGGAGAAGGGTGAGGGTGGAGGGAGGAGGGAAGAGGGATGATGGTAAAGAGAGAGGAAGAGAGAAGGGTGGAAAGCAAGAAAAGGGATAAAGAAAGGAAGGGCGAGAGATGGAGGGAAAGAGCACATGAGCAAGGGAGACAAGAGAAGAAAGGGAGGGACAAGAGGGGAGCGGGGAGGGCTAGAGTGTGTTGGGGGGGTTGGGAGGGGTGGGAAACGAATTGCCTCAAACTGCATAACAGGTAGAAAAAAAAAAAAAAGCGCGTCGATGGGTCAGGGAGAAGGATGAATGCGAAAAAAACCTAAACAAGCCTTGTGCGGGGCATACCTTAACGAACCCTGTGCGTCGATCGAGGTTGAGGTGCAGGTTCTTGATCTCTCCAAACTCTGCAAACATCTCATGCACATCGTCCTCCTGTGCCTCCTCATGCACCCCCGTCACCAGCACGATCCACCCCTCCACCGCTGCACGCACAAAACGCCAGGCAAAAGGGGAAGGTGGACGATGGATATCAGGAGCAACCCACACGCTGCTATGGACTAACCTTGCATTTCCACTCCCCTCAGCTTGTAACACGGCTGCACTTCTCTTCTATGTTCTGTCCACCATAAGCACACTCCCTGACCTAACCCATCCCTCCCCTTCCGCTCCCCTCACCCCATCTTCCTCCCCATCGCATCCTCTGCCCTTCCACCCTTCCTCCCTGTCCCCATCCCCCCACCCTCCCCTTCTCCCTCCCCTCCCTCCCCCCCCTCTTAAGACGCACATCGTTGGGGCCCCGGCCCGCCAGAAGCGTCGAGCGATTCGAACGCGCGTCCCCCCACGCGGTCGCCGCCGTCGCGCTCCACGTCCATGGCCTCGCGGAACCCGCGCCCCTTCGTCCGCCGCGCCTCCGCCGCCGCCGCTGATGCCGCTGCTGCCGCGGCCGCTGTTCCGCCAGCAATCGTGGATCTGCAACGGTACGTTGAAGGACGCGGGGCGGGAAAGAGGGGCGACGGGAGGGGAATGGAGAGGGAAGGGGTTAAAAGAGGAGGTGATGGAAATGCCATGCTGCTTCCACGCTGAGCCCGCATGCGCCAAGCGCGGAGGATGAAGTAGCGAGAGCGTAATGAGCATGTTTAAAAGGAGCAAACTGGCGTTGCGCGATGCTTTTGAACCGCTGCAGGACAACAATACTCTCGTATGGTAGCGGTAATCCGCGGCCAGATTATTCAACAGAGAGGCGAGGAGACAAAGTTGATTTTCCGGTTTCGGATAAACCTAAGCTTAGGCGCAGGCGCCGCGGCGACGGGAGCGGCTCCGGCGTCGTCCTCTTCCATGGCGAGCTCGAGATCGTCATCGTCCGCGCCGTAGTCTACCTGGTCCACGTCAGCATGCGCCATGATGTATATCTGAAGTCGGACTCGCGCGTACACAGATGTAGACGCTCGATATATCGTAATTGGCACGCTAACCTAGGCTCCTGCGGGTAACGCTGCGTAAGCGGGAGCGCAAGAAGCGAGCGACGAAGGCTAAACTGGTAATCGGAATGGAACAGCGGTTACCCTAATGGCGACGGGTGCAAGCGAGCTGTGAGCAGATAATGAAAACTGCGGCATTGTGGTTCTCGCGACAAACCAATAAATCAGAAATTGAAATCTGTACCGTATACAGCACTGCAGTGCTATATTCCAATTCGAACTCTTGTACAAGATGTGGCCACTTGTCCATAGTGGAAAAACTGCCAAATGTAATAGGTTGCACTCTTGTGAGCACCCGGTCTCTTCCCGCCAGGCAGCACATTTGATACATCCTTAAAAGAGGTTTTATTACAAGTGATGCTTACAGATTCAAAATGGACCAGCCATCTTCAAGCAGCACAATGGCCACTTTAAATCAAAAGAAGAACAAATGAACTACCAAGGGCTTGAATGTATTTCCTACACAAGAAGCCCTTGCCATACAATCTATTATTTGCTTCCGAAGGAGACTGCTTACACAAGCACAACCTCCCGGTTGAACACCCAGCTAAACTTGCCCGTTTTAGGTCCAGCCTTCTTGAGCTTGTCCGCTGATCGCTCGGCCAGCTTGCGGATGCGCGGCGGCAGCTTGCACACATACTCCTGAGCCCTGCGACCGTCAGCATCAAGCCCCTCAATCTTCTCAACGTTCCATCTGGCGATGAGGTGCTCGATGATGCTCACATAGTCATTGGCCGTGTACACGCCCGTGCGCTGCGCCACCATGGTGAACGCGTCGAAGAGCTTGTCGTTCTCCCCGTCGTACATTAGGTGCGCGGGCATCACGATCTGGAGGGAGACCACATGGGGATGGGCGGCATTGGGTGGTTGCTAACAGGCCTACACCAGCATCCAGGAAGCCATGAACATGGTAGCTCCTTGCCCCATCAAACACTCCTTCATGCTAGATTTAACCCGCCCCCCAACCACTTCTTTCCTTCCACCATTAACATCTCAATCCCACCATCGCCAACCCTCATGAACCACACGTGCAACTCTGAGCATCACAACCCAGCGGACTTGGGCAATCATTTTCCCGGAATGTACTACTTTGACTCAAGTACCACTTACATGACCCGAACAGTCCACACTTGAAACATGTCTTCATCATATGCGCTCACCAAACCGAAAAGCATTCCGCATCCCAACGTCACACCACTCACACCACCCAGGTTCCAACCACGCCCCACCCCATCTTACCCCACCGCACCCCACCCCACGCCACCCGATCCCAGGCACCCGATCGTTCACCACCCAAATCTCAACCCCCTGACCCCACCCCACCCAGATCCTAGCACACCCAACCAAGATACTCCCCACTAAACTGACGACGCGAGGCGCACCTGTTTCTTCATCATGTCTTCGAAGGCGAGCATGGCGCCGTTGGGGTCGAGCTCGTACAGCTTGCCCACGATCGCCTGGTACGCGCGCTCGTGCCGCTTCTCGTCCGCCGCGATCAGCCCGCAGATGCGCCCCAGGTTCTTCTCCCCCTTCACCACCGCGTGCCGCGCCGTGTTGCCGTGCGAGATGGCCGTCGCGCGCTCCTGAAACGACGTGTAGAGGAAGCCAAGGTACGGGTTGTTCTCCGTCTTGGGGTCCTGCGGGCGGCGAGCATGGGAGAAGAAAGGAGGACGTGGGGGACGGTACGGTTTGTAAAGATGCTGAATGCAACGACGACTTGGATAACAAGGGCAAATTATCTTCCCAGCATGTGCGATGGTAACACGTGCGATGACCTAGGGGCAGTTAGAATCTGCGAGCGAACGCACCATGCCGGATCCAATGAGGTACTGGATCGTCTTCTCCACGGCGCGCATGTTGACGCGGCCCGAGAGGTAGAGGTAGCGGTTGAGCAGATCGCCGTGGCGATTCTCCTCCGCCGTCCACTGCCGCGTCCAAATTCCCCACGGGGTCGGGCTGGCGCCCGTCTCGTCGCGCGTGCCGTCCAGCGTGTTGAGCATCGTCTGGTACGTCGGTAATGCCTCCTCCGTGATCATGTCGCCGACGAGCGAGACGAAATACTCGTCGGGTAACTCCTTCGCCCGCTCGCGCAACTCCTTGACTTCGTCGATGAAGCTCTCTTTCTCAGGGGACGGGAGGAAGTCGGATGGCTGCCACGACGACTCGACGGGCTTGAGAAGCGGAAGGAGCGCCTCCTCCGCCCAGCCCTCGAGCGACTGCACGAGCTCCAGTCTCTCGGGGCTGATGGTGTGAGCCCGCTGATTGGTTACCATCTTGTGCTTCTTCGCATCAGTCGACGCGGACGGGCTGATGAAGGAAGGTAACGGTGGGGGAAAAGAGATGGCACAGCGGATGAGGAAAGTACAATTCACGTACTTACAGAGATTAGCCGACAACTTATCTACTTTCCCCATACCGCTCTTGCGTGCGTTTTCCTGTATCTTATACTCTACTACTAGCATTTAGTGAAGTGCAAGGACTGCAACTCACCGAGCTACAGTGGCCGTCATGGCCATCTTGCACCCATTCTGCACCCCCTGCACTCTCGCCCCGCGGATGGACTGGCGCGACCCCAAGCGGGCCGCGGCATTGGCGCTGGCGACGTTAAGCGACGCCATCTCTGCAGCTAGCGAGCCAGCCATGTACTAGGATTAAAGAAGTTGATCGCACACGCAGGTGAAGTAGCAAAAGCTCACTAACTGCGGCGAGGGAACCGCAAGTGATCAAAACAGGGGGTTGTGATTTTTTTTTTTAACAGCAGGGAAACGTGACGCTGTGCGGGGGGTCTGAATGAAGTTGCCATTTACTGCAGGAGGCTTTCTACTCCCTGCCAGCCTTCCTCCCCCGAATTCCTCTTCCCTAGGTTGAAGACACTTGCTGGGGTCCTGTTGGAGGCACTGCGCGCTTTCCGCGTTATGTGCTGGCAAGCGATCGGTATCTCCCCCAACCGCAGGCTTCCACGTAGGGGAAGGGATCGCAGTGCGACAGCGCATAGCAACAGAGTGATCGGTCAGCGTCCCCTTGGGCTTTTCGAGACGGTCGATGCGGGAAAGATGCTGCGATCGAAACCGCTAGAAACAAGCGCGAAAATACGCACAGCCAGCAACTTTCCAGCTCCTTTTTGTGAAGCCAATCAGAGGGCGATCATGAGTCGAGGCCACGCAATGCAATCATAGAGGTGCAGGCAATCGGGGCTCTCCTGGCCTCCCGTCCGTTGGTGTGGACAGCGCACCAACACTGCGCCTGGCACCGAGCACCGTCATACACTTTCCGCTACAATGCAATTCAAGCGACCATAAGTTTCGCATTAGATAATCATCTCCACTGCGATTTACACAAATGCATACACATCCACTTATCACTGTACTTGTAAGAATTACAATGGGTCATTACATTTCTTCGTTAAAATAATTAGTAACACACTGATAACCCTGTTTTTCAAAAGACAGCCGAGATATAACATAGTTTAACCATTGAATATTTGTTACATTGTACATTCAGTCCAGGAGTAGAAGTGTAGCAGAAGTGAATCTAGATTCACGACCTGTGATAGCTTCTCTGTAACGGGCACTCTTCCCAACCACAATCGAAGATTCTGAGGATGTGGGCAAGTTGACTTGAGGGCCGAGTCATCCCCATTCTCTCCCCCACTTCACTTCACTTCTGACGGGAACTTGAGACGGAAGTTGTTTCACATGCGGTACAGCAGTGGGGGGCGACTTGAGTGCAAGGTGTATTCGCACCTGCGCTGCTCTCCACTGCCCCATTGTCGACTTGTTTAGAGTAGGCCCTAAAAATCAGTTGTCGAACCTGATTTTCCCTACTGGGGCATGCTGCCCAGTGCCCACACCTCAGGTGTGCTTGATGTCTCCGTCTGAACCATTTCCTTGAGGCTACTGTACCCCCAAGCACGAAACATTCTTTGCGCGAAAAAGGCTCACTTGCACTCTTTTGGAGCGCAGGGTCGAATTGTTGCCAGCTTCAAATTGGTCGCCAAAAGGCTCATCGGCTTTGTCGCTGCCCGCCGAGCCAACCCACAGCTTTCCCAAACCAGCGCAGGCTGAGCCAAGAAATGCTTTGCCATCCCAAGCAGCCCGAGCTCTTGTGGTAGGCTGGTGGTAGCTGCCCAAGCTGCCGCAAAGCTGCCTTCCCAACAACTGCACCGCGCAACTGTCCCTCAATCTTCCGCCATGCACCGCTGTTGCGGTGCGCCCGCCAACCCCAAGGCCGCTTTACACCTTTATTCCGCCAACCAGGCAGGCTCTCCGTGTCATGACTGACCTCCCGCTACCCGTCTTCCCCACTTTCCGAACCTGCGCAGGTGGTGCGTGAGGGCCAATATTCTCCCATAATCACATTCGTTTCGCGTTCCATCCAGTGCTTTCAGACGCTTGGCGGACGGAACTTCCCCCGCTGTCAGCTCCGCGCCCATCATTCCCGCTCTCCCTCCGCGCGTCCCGTCCTCCGCGCAGTCACCCCCCCCCTGCGATCTCTGCCCAATCGCACGCATCTCCCGCACACTGATCCTCCAGCAGAGAATTCTGCTTGCGCTCTTTTCGACTTTCCGTGCGACGCTTTTGAACTTCTAAACTTGCCGCCTAGTCAGCAGCCCCTATCATTCAAAAACACATGAATTACCCACCCAGTTATCGCGATTTCCGCATATTTCCTAGCCAATTTGAAGTTCTTGTCGGCTTTCCCGTCTTAGTCCTATTCTCGCATGTGTCCGGAGCTTCTAGGGGATTTCGTAGGAGCAGAGGCGGGGGAAAGCCAGCGCGCCAGCCTGTGGGCCTCGCAAACCGCGGACCGCCAACTCGCGCCTTGTGCGGCCATGAGCGCGGCAGCTAGAGCCAACTCAACCGTCGCCTCACACACGTCACACAGCTCCTTATTCCCGCGACCCTTCCACCTCCCGCAGCCCCCGCTGATAGCGCCGCCGCCGCACATCTCAGCGCAGCACTTCCTGTACCTCCAGCAGCAGCAGCGCCGCCTGCAGCTCGTGCAATCCCTGCCCATCCCGCAACCCCTCCTTCACCAATCCTCCGTCTCCGCCGGCTCCGCGGCCGCCGCCGTTCCTCCCGCGGTCTCCGAAGCGCGGCTGCCGGCGCCGGCGTACGACTATGCGACACACGGCGCGGTGATGACGCCGGAGCAGGTGGAGGCGCTGCGGCGGCAGATCGCGGTGTACAGCACCATCTGCCAGCAGCTCGTCGCCATGCACCAGGCGCTCACCGCGCAGCACGCACACTTCGCCGGTCAGTGCGCGCGCTGTTCGCCGCTCTCCGCCGTGTCCCGTTTCGTTGCACCGTCTCACGCCGCTCTGTACCGTGTTATGCGTGCTCGTCGCCTCCTGTTTCGCGTGTTCCTTCGCTCATCGTCGCGTTCTGCGGTTTGCAATCGCAAAGGACATATTCCTTCAACATCCAAATCTGTTTGAGCCCGCAAGAAAAATTCGTTCTGAGGTCACCCATACGTCACAATAGGGCAGTCGCTTGTGTTAGAGGCTGTGGTGACAAACTTTTCTGGTTCCCAACGTGTTTTGGAACACGCGGATTAGCGGTTATCCGCTGGTGTTGGTAGCCGGTTGCCTGACTGTCAAGAGTTGACGTGTAGCCGTCATCCTGTGGGTAGCGGTTATCAAAGCACGTCAATTTCCCCTGCGAGCGCTGGCAATCACGCTGTCTTGAGTGCACTAACTCGTCCCCGCGCTTATCATCTTACCTCGGTTGTACCCATGTGTGTGTGTGTGCGTGTGTTTGTGCGTTTAAATGCTGAGCATTCATGCTGTCTTTTATGTGCTTCGTATAGGCCGTACGCTTTAGTCTTCTTGATTCAGTTCACGCTTTTGATGTGTGCGGTGCTAATCCGTGTACTCTCCAGTCGAACCGCGCGTTCAGTTCACGCCCTCTTAAGCCTCATACTTCCTCCTAACTTGCCCCGTACCTACTTCCCACAACCCGATCATGCGTCTCTTTTCCCGTCCACGTGTCAGCAGCAGCGGCGGCAGCGGGGGTCCTCGGGCACCTCCCCTTCCCCTACGACCACTACGGCGTCGGTTCCGCCGCCATCGCCGCTCACCCCAAGACGCGCCAGCGGTGGACGCCGCAACCCGCGCAGCTGCAGATTCTCGAGAAGTACTTTTCGCTCTCCACAGGCACGCCGAACAAGGCGCGTATTCGGGAAATAACGGCGGAGCTGCAGCAGCACGGGCCTATATCGGAGACGAACGTGTACAATTGGTTTCAAAACCGCAAGGCGCGGGCGAAGCGGAAGAACTCGAATCTCGCGAATGGGGGGAGCGGCGGAGGGGAGAAAGACGCGGGCGCGGGGGAAGCCGCGGGGGCTGTCGCTGCGCATGGTGGGGGGGGGAAGGGGAGCGCGGGGGCGGGTTGGGGGAGCCAGGGGGAGAAGCGGCACAAGGGGGACTCGTCGGAGAGAGTAAAGGATGTGATTGTAGAGGGGGAAATGGGTCTCGTGCGCAGCGGTAGTGTGGCGAGTTCAGGCGGGGGTGACGTCATCAGGGAGCCGGACGGAAGGACAGCGCACGAGGCGGGCGAGGGCAGCCCCGGGGGAGTCAGCGCCGCGGGTGGGAGCGCTGGGGCGGCGGGAGGGACCTTCGCGAGCGCGGGGGAAGGCGGGGGAAACCACACCGCGGAGGGGCAGGAGCGGGGCGCAGGGTCGGGGGGGGAAGGCGCGGTGAGCATGTGCGAGGCAGCAGCGGGCGCGGGCGGTGCTGCGGGGGGAGCGTTGATGGACCATCAGCGGGTGACGATCGCCGTGGGAGGTGGCGCTATGGCTGTAGGCGACGGCGCGAATGCAGCAGCGCCTGTGACGGAAGGGAGCTTGCCACAGTACGGTGGGGAGGGGTGCGGAGCGGCAGGATTTGAGTCCGTTCAGATGGAAACAGGCTTGCTGGGGGGTGCGGTTGCAGCCAGGCGGACTAGCGCTGCTGCTGCTGCTGCCGCCGCTGCTGCCGCTGCTGCAACTGTTGCCGATGGTGGTTTAGGGTCGGGTGATGGTGATAATGGTGCGGGCATGGACGTGGGCGACAGTGCGAACCAGGACGGGTGGCAGGCCGCAGGGGAAGGTGCGCTGCAGCAGGTGGGCGTGCATGTGTCGAGGCAGCAGCAGCAGCAGCAGCAGCGCCTTGATGCGCCTGGAGAGGCGGCTTCCGCAGCCCACTTGGATGCACACGTGCGCATGGACGGGTGTGGGCCAATGAACATGCAACATGGGGACCGCGCGCATCTGGGGGCCAGCGGGGGCTTGACTGGCGCGCATGCGCACTTGGAGGGGGAGGCGCAGAGCCACATGCGCGCGCACAGCAGCGAGCACGTGCGCGCATGGGGCGCGCATGGCGCAGGGGAGGGGGTTCAGGCGAGGGGGCATGGCATGGGCGGGCACGGAATTGCGGAAGCTCAGGGGGGCTTGGGCGGTGAGCGGTGCGTGGAGGGGCGGAGTGCGGAGCAGGAGAGTGTTTCCAGAATAGCAGGCGATCACGTGCAGCCAGTGAGCCTGGCAGCCGCGGCAGCACCTGAAAACACACCTGGAGAAGCACCTGGGCATGGGGACTTTAACGATGGAAGTCACTCGTTGGTGCAGGAGTCGCTAAGACCACAGGGTGACGCGAGTGGGGGTATGCATCATGAGAGTGAGGCAGGGATTGCGGAGCAGAGGGAGCTTGGGGCAGTGCCATGTGGGCCGGCACAGGTGGTGATACAGCAGACGGGGCAAGAGGAGAGTATGGCTGGGCAGCAGCAGTGGCAGCAGCAGTGGCAGCAGCAGCAGCAGCAGCAGGGCGCGGAGCATGACAGTGTATTGGCTCCTCCGCTTGCCTGCACGCTTGCTGCTGTGCACACAGCAGAGAGCAGTGTGCATGCACAGGGCGACCTGCAGCTGCAGCAGCAGCAGCAGCAGCAGCAGCAGTTGGCTGTATCGCCTCCACAAGTTATGGTGCCTGTACAGCAGCAGGGCGAGGAGGGTGGGCAGATGGAAGGGTTGGAGGCCGGTGGAGTGGTGACAGGGCAGGCAGGGCAAGATGGGCAAGAGGGTCTCAGTCCCGATGCTGCCGGGGTAACTGCTGGTAGTGCAGTCAGTGCAGGCAGTGGCAGTGCTGGTGCTGGCGTACCGGATGGAGCTGCTGCTGTTGCTGAAGCAATTGATGCTGGTGGTGGCACTGCTGCTGCTGCTGTTGCTGCTGCTGGTGGTGGCGGCGAGGCAGTGATGGATGGTGGTGAGAGTGCGGGTGCTGCGTTGGGTTTCAGTGGAGTGGGTGCAGTGGGCATGGGCAGTGAGGTGGGGGCGGAGGCTCAGGAGCAGCAGCACATGCTGATAGATCAAACCATGTTCCACCCACCTCCTCGTAAGTCTGCATTAAACCCTGCCATGCACTTGCACACATCCATGAAACCCATTTCTTGTAGCGCATCCATCATCACATGCACTCTTGAGCATCAGAATCTCTGTACATCATGCTCTCCTTACCTCCTTCCCCTCTTCTATTCGTGTCGTTCCAGCCCCTCCAGAGGCAACAAGTGCGATGCAGGTGATGATCAATGGCAAGCCATGGGACGTGCCCATTGGGCTGCTGGATGTGCGCAACAGCTTTGGGGAAGGTGCTGTGATATTCGATGCACAGGGGTGTGCTGTGCCAACCAACGAGATGGGCATCACTCTTGAGCCTCTGCAGGAAGGCAGCAGCTACACTGTGCAGGGGTGAGGAAGATCAGTCACTCTCTTTTTCTTTCAATGATAGCCACCATGTCTCCTCTTGCATTGTGGTCAGTATCTGTTTCGCTTACGTTAATCCATGTATTCTTGCCGTTCATCCTCCCCTTTGCTGTTTCCAGGGGCGACATTGCGCTGGTCTCAGATCCCGTGCCTCTGTTACCAGATGGTTAGTCGCACTGGCGCCTCCCCCCCCCCCCTGCCCTGTTTTTTGAACGCTCTGCCTTTTTAAATTGTCAGGCATACTTTAGTTCGTGCTCATGTTTTCTGTTTGTGTGTGTGCAACAGATGACCTTGTGCCCGACTCCACATTGCTTTGAATCCTCTACACACTTGTTTTCAAGACCACACCTGCTGCTGGGTACGTTTGTTTGGACGCTTCCACCAGCCTGCGTGTACAAGTTTCTTATCAGTGGACGTTGCCCTAGGTGTAGTGGATGTAGTGTAGATAATTATTGCCAATTTTGCTGGAAGGAGGGTGGTTGACGGTTAAAAATTTTGGCTTCCATGCAACCAGCGGGGAAAATTTGGCGAAAATTTTGGCGATTTGCAAGAATCCACGCATTTTCAGCAATAGAAATCGATTCGATAGTGTGCTTTCGAATCAGTGTTACACGCCGGAATTACACTGAAATTTCAGTGTTGGTACAAGAAACCTGCCTGAAAATTCAGTGCTGCCATAAAAAAAAACACTCTTCAATCAGCCTAGGGGAAAAAAAAAACCCTGAAAAAAAGCGTTTCAAGGCCAAATCAGCGTTTTTTTCCTGACTTCTGGGGGCCTGCATGCAACACCAAGCTTGGATAATTTCATGCACTGTACAACTACCAGATTGACATGGGCCCCAGAAGTTTTGCTTGTACATACAAATTACAATTGCATAGGTGACAGTGTCACCGTGACACTGTTATAGCATCACCCTTCATCTACTATGGGGGCACAGCTCTTAAGAAGAGGCTTGCAGTGTCCATGGTGTTCTGACAGGCAACTGACCAGCTGTCGAAGGGGACCCATGTGTTGGTGGTTATGGGATGAGGATCACATCATCTGCACAGAAGGTATACAAGGGTTGATTTGTCAATTGAATGATCCAATCCAGCACTTCACAAAAGCTTTACAAGCTTAGACAGCACCTACCAGCCTTGATCACGTTTGGGTCTTCAATGTTGTTGATTTCCAATATCGCTGCCACTGTAGTGTAGTACCTTCTTGCAATGCCATAAAGTGTGTCACCCTGCAAAGTACAACGTTTGAATCACTCAAATACATACATGGTGTTCTCCACCTTGAGGTGAATGCATATATCTTCGCACTAACCTGCTGAATAGTGTACATGCGAGGAATCCACAGTGTCTGTCCTTGATGGATAGTATCAGACCGCAGGTTGTTAGCCTGATAGGAAGAATGCAGGTCGAGAAAAGGAAAAAAAAAAAAAAAAAAAAGGGCTGGCATGAGATGCGAAAGTGGTATGGCGAAAAACGCTTTAAAATTGCCGTCAGGAGTTTCTCACCTGTGCAATCACATCCACTGAAGACCCGAAGGCGCGAGAAATAGCGGATAGCGAGTCACCCCTTTGGACGACATAGTACGAACGGCCGTCAATGTTTTCTAGTCCTGGAAGTAAGGAATAAGCAGCCACGTTAGGTGCCCTGAGTACGCCGTGTAAACGAGAAGTGTAATCTTTCATTTTTCTGCTCCTTGTGAGATAATATCCGTTCAACAAGGATACGCATTCAAATGGCTCTCGGTAAACTTACCACCACTGAACGGCCTCGAGCGATTAGCGAGCACAAGGAGAGATGCGCCTGCGCCAGTTGCGGCAGCGCCAACGAGGTTTCGACGAGAGAAAAGCGTAGACTCTTCGGACAAGGGTTTGAAGCGGAAACGCTGGGTATTTCGTGGAGCCAAAGGGACAGCAAATCGTGAACCGAGGGAGAGCGGCTTTTGAAGGGAAAGCGCAAAAGTGGGCATAATGGAAGGGGTGCGAGCGTGCGCGTGACAAGATAGAAACACGAGGACGCTGGAGGAGGATGAGGTCGTCCGAAGAAGTGAAGACGCCATGCAAACACTAGAAGACGCCATAGTCAGCCAGCAACTTAGTCCTGATGGACTGGCACCCTCGAATTTGCAAGTCAGATGACACATTGAAACGCAACACATTTTCAGGAAGGCGAGGACCGTTCTTTATCGCGTACAAGTTCGAAACACCACATCAGAAATTTGTTATTGCTCCAAACAGATATCTGGCCACACATTCTCAACCCAGTCCCCTCGATAATCTAGGGAGTTCCCATTCTGAGCAGTTTTGACTTCCTCGCTCCTTCACTGCACAGCTTCTTCATCCTCTGATCTCCAGTCTGTTCTTCTGTATTTGGACGCCGGCGCTTGGTGCATTTTAACTGGCGACGTCAGTGTTCGAAATGGTTGCGGGAGCGACGATCGGTCTAACTGTCTGTCCCAGAGCCACTCTCGTTGCTCGTCCGAGGTAGCACCCAACAGGCTTACACCATTTACACCGTAAAGTGTTCGATAAATTGAGCCCTTATTGTGCCATTCTCATTCACGATCGCGTCGCGTTTCCCCTTCTGTCTGCGTTGTGTCTTCCAGGCCAGCTGCCCACCAATGCAGCATGAAGTACCTCAAATCCACGTCATTGTGTGGTGCGTCCTTCTCAGTGCGAAGCACGTCAACAGCTGGAGCAGCTGCAGTCTGTCTCGGGAAGGGAGTGTGTGTGGTTGCTGCTACAGGGTTTGGGAAGCCGGGTGGTGGTAAGGGCAAAGGAGACACGAAGGATGCGGAGAAATCCCTGAAGTCCACGCTGGAGCTCGATAAGTTCATTGATCAGCTCAGAAGCGCAGGCGATAATGAGGTCCGACTCCCCTACTTGTTGGATACATGAATAAGTCTTCTAATCTGGAACGTCGTTTCATAGTATTCTTGCAAGCTGCAACCACCTTTCCGTTGCCTTGGGTCCCCAACCCATGTCCTGTTATCGATTCTAACCCAGGCTGACGCTCCCACTCCCTGCACCGCATTGTTTTGCCATGTTTCAGCTGCCTCTTCTGGTGGCTGAAAACGTGCTTGCCTTTGATCAGAAGTTTTGGCTTCGGCTGGTCACACGGGCAGAGTCCAGCTCCTCGGTGGATGACAGGGTAATGCAGTATGGATGACAAGCTCTCACATCCTATCACCGTTTTATCCATGATCTCTCTCACCCAATTTTTCTTAACGCCGACTCTGTGTGCCTGTGTTCGTGCTTCACAGAGGGATTTTGAGGAGCTGGCCCGGAATGTGATGGAAATTGTGGAGAAGGTGGTTAAGAAAACGCATGTAAGTTGTCCATTATTCACTGCATCTGCATATGGAAAACACAGTGCCACTTTTCATCATACACGTTACCTTCTTTTATAAAGTGTCACTCCAAACTGTTTACAAATCACTCCAGGAAAACATGGACAGCACCAGTGATGCACTGGCATCCATGCTTAGGCAGCTTGGAGACGACAATGAAGAAATCTCTTGGCCTCCTTCAGGGGAGGTCTTGGCCAAGCTGCGAAAGGTTCGTAATTCTCATACCACCTCTGTACAGAGTGAATCTCCTGGTAATATGGCAATCTGGTGGCATCTGCAAGCACTTCTATACAACTATATGCACCCAACTGGAACGCCCTTGTCCTCTATTCTGCCAATTTGCAGGAAGTCGAGCAATGGGACGAGGATGGCCGCATTGATGAGAAGTTTCTTGCCTCAGTGTCAGCTCAATTGAGACAGGTATTCTTAACAATATGCGTGTCCAGTCATTTTACCCCTGGTAGTTTACGCACAGAAGAGGGTTTCACACAGGCTGTTGCTGTGTTGTATTGTGCAGGCTACAGAGGCCACAGATAAACCTGGGCTTGTGGCCATGTTGCAGAAGGTCCTCCAGTTATACGCCTCAGCTCGTCTAGGTCGCCGGAGCTATGCAACTCGACGTATGTATTCATTGTACACTTGAAGTCATGTGTAAAGTTTTCTGTTTTCTTCAGTATTTCAAGCCTGCACAAAGTTTCCTGTCCCCTCCCGTATTCTCTGCAGGTGATGGTACCATTGATGAGGCTGAGGAGTTATTGGAAACACTGATACAAGGTATGAAAAAAAAAATCATTTGAAGAAAGAACATACAATGCATAAGCAGCTACCTTGCACAGCAGCTCCTTTGAAAGAATGGTTGACACAATTGGAAACTCATGCTTGCAGCTCCTGAGGAAACTTGGGACTCCCTTCTTCAAACCCGCCTCAAATGTGGAGGTGGGAGTCTTCCAGAAGCTGATTTGTATACCGCCCTCGAGAAGAGGGCAGAGAGAATGTTCATGCGCACTGTAAGTAGACACTGCTCCCATCTTCCAACCGCAAAGTCAACACTTCCGCCCATCCACCCAGCTAACTGCCTTTCAAATGCAATGACTCCTTCAACTGCAGGAAAGCGGCTCATACGAGCAGAGAATACTGGGAGAGTACTTGAAAGAACTGGAGGCACGAGCCCGAGCAGTTGCTGCTGCTTACTCCACACCTCCTCAGCTGCCATCCTCATAAGCAAACATGGGGGCTCAATTTCAGGGTGCTGTAGATTCTTTGGATAGCTAAGGGAATCCACCCAGCGAAAGAAGGCCATAGCTGGTGATAGGCTTCCTTTCCACACGCTTGAAGGGGCTTCTTGCATTGTGAGAGAATGCTGGCTGTTGCACCTCTGATCCAGAGCGTCCCCGTTTGCGATGATCAGATTCCTGGAGAGAATAAAGAAAACAGTATATTCATTATATGTGTTAAGACAAAGGGAGAAGTGCTTTGTGTGGTAGCCTGGAACATACAGGATCAATGTGTGTTGCGCCATGGCACTTCAAGGTCTTATCCTCCAATGCCCAAAGCCCTGGACAACAAAACCTTCTGGAGAATGTTAGAACTTATTGCGCAACAAGAAAACGCAAATGAAGAAATCAGAAAACACATGCCTGGTTGTGATGTTGCCAAGTGAGCAGTTGGCCTGTAAATCAGGGAGTGCTGCTGACTCAACCTTGGGTGAACCATGCTCCCAAAATAGCAGGCTAAAAGAGAACCATCTCTGACATCGTGTTTCTCCTGCACTTCACAGCCCTGGGGACAACCCATGCACAACTTCTTTTCAGATTCTGCGCAAATCACAAACCAGTCCTCTGCAAATGCTGTAGCCAGATTCTTACCTCCATGTAGGGCTCATGTGCCACGTGCGGACTTCCCATATTGTGCAGTCCATTCTGCACGCGTCTCTTCCTTGCATGACGGGTTGCAGCCTTGCCCTCTGCTCCAACAAGGAGAGGTTGCGGTGGGGCAACAAGGACACGTGACCCCTTTTGCAGCTGCACTGTGGGTGTTTGCGCCTGATGACCAGCATTGTCATCTGCTTGCAATTGAGTTTCTGGCAGCTTGAATGACAGAATGCTTGAGTTGAAATTGAAGCTTGAGTTACTCCCATTGTCACATGGGAAAAAGTGCCATGGAGAACCTCCACTGACAGATGGGGACTTGCCATTAACCACACCATTTGCATGCATCCCTGCCAAGCACCAACAAATATCTGTTAGATCAGTTGCATGGAATTCCTCTAACATCCAACTCTCAATTCAAGTACCATTCTGGTTTCCTCGAGGCAGGTCTTTCTTGTTAGCAAGCTTGCTAAGTCTGCGCCTGTGCTTTGCCTCCGCTCTGAGAGAGAATATGACTTGCTCAGCTGGTAGCATCTCCAAAACTGGAACCTCGTCCCCGTATTCTGCAGATTACACTTCAGCTTTGCTCTGTTAGAGGGGCTAATATGGGTCACCAGAAAGGCTTTCCTAAAATTTACTATGGGAAAAGTCTATACCTGAAAGGGGAAGGTTGATTGTTGTGCATTGCCTCCCAAAAATTGAAATCGCAGCCCTGTCATGAGCCCTTGCTGCATCCTTCTCGTCGTCCCAATTTCCAAGATATCTGCAAACGACATGCCAAGTTGGTAAATAAAGGAGACAAAAGCCAGCAATCTTCTTCACAGAGTGTAAAGACAGAAGTGTACATTTTTCGCCTGGAGTTGTAAAGATAGGCTTCCCATCTGCCGCTTGGATCAGAAGACACTCCAGAAAATCTGTGCTTCTTCGTCTGATCCACCTCAAATTCCGTACTCTGAGCTGGAGTCACTGGAGCCAGAGAATTCTCTGGAGTAATTGTCGCCCTGCAGGAGTTCCGCTTCATGAACATGAGTCAACACGTTTCAAACAACAGTGACATTTCAAATGTCATTTTCCTTACTTTTTAGCTCCTCCAATTGCATCCGTCTTCTCCAAATCAAGCTTCAACCTCTTGCTCGCCGGCTCAAATGTTAAGCCTGACCTTGGCAATGCTGGAACCAAGTCAGGCATACTGCTGAGTGATTCCTGAACAGATACCATCGGAAACTTTGGGGATTTGGTAGATGTTGACGTGTAGGGAGAGCCTAAAGTCAGGTTAAGCTCGTCAGTGTCCATCTACAATGAGCAAGAAAATTCTAGCTTCTGCTGTAATACTAGTGCAGACGCTAGAATGGTCAGAGACTTGAAAGGAAGGTGGAGAAGAAGTCCTTGGAAGGGCTAAGCGGAGATCCGCGACGAGAATGAAATGCTGCTTCACGATATGACAACCTGTGCTAGCTGGTCCTCCCATTGTAATCGACAGGCACCGCCACCAGGCTGACCGAAGGTGGGACAGACACGGCAAACGTCTCCCTGGCTCACCGAAACAAGCTCGAGGTGATGGCCATCACTCAATTGCTGAACTCATTCACTGAAGCCCATAACTGGGCGGCCGGCCTGGTATGTAAGCAGCGACAGCAGCCACCAGTTATGTAGGCGGCCGTAAAGGATCAACACTGCTCGCTCTCTTGCAATTGCTCCTGTGTCCTCCAAACACCCTGATTCCAGGGCGGCCGTCCGTGATCTCGATGGGACGAATCTGACTTCTGGAAGCTTGATCTGCATCTGTTTCTTTCTTGAATAATTAACGCATTCAGGTCGGCATTGCCTTGTCAACCCACCCTTCGTGATTGACTCAGGGATACTACCTAGGTCTCTTGGGTCTCCGAAGGGCAAGAAGGAACCCATTCGATTGACACGTCACGAAACGTTCAAATCCCACCGAATCAAGGAATGCACGCTTCCTTCTCTCTGAAGTCTGCACGAGGCACTGTTAGGCTGGCGCATGTCGATAAATCACGTGAGCGTAAAGCGTTAAAATTTACAGTAGGAACTGGAGGTCAGCCTCTATACGTTTCACTCTTCCCCCTCGTAAGTACCGGTAACTCTCCTATCAGTCCTACTGCTGATTGGCAATCACAGGTGGCCGTGCCAGCGAACTTCCTGTTCACCTCCTGCATGCATAAAGCCACGCAGGTGGCTCTCAAGAATTCCTGGGTAAGGGCGTGTGTGAATCTAAATATTACCATAAGTTACATTTTGGATTCGATTGTAGCAAGTGAACACAAAGCGAGCCTGACTCGATTTTGAGTACTTGCAAAGTTCGAACCGCCAGAGTCAAAAGTTGCACACTCAAAACCACACACGCAAGTGCGAATTTGCAAGTTCGAGCTTGTAGGGGGGGAACCGAACCGCCACTGGGGTGTGTAGGTTACCCAGTTTCGACATCTTGACAGCGCGACACGTCAACGGAGCGCGCCCCCCAAATGGACCCTCTAGACCTCCACCTCATCATCGTGCCCCTAATGGTGGCTGATGTGGGGTGTACATTGTTGGCGCAAATTTCGCTGCCAGTGCGCCAACTTCGGACAATTCGAACTGCGATCTCATTTTCCCAGTGCGGACGTGTTTGCAAATGCGATCTTTTCGGGCAGAACCATGCGGCTGCCCGTGTTTAGGGTTGGGGCTCCCCGTGTTTAGGGTTGGGGCTCCCCTAATCGCATGCCATCCAGATGGGGTTTATGTTTTTCTGACCGCGGGCAGGTTACGATCCATCAGCTTCTTCCAGGCGGACTGTTAGGGATCGCATTTGCGAACCGCGCTGGCCTAATTGGATTGCAGCTGATGTTGTCCCGCGCCAACTTCTAGTCAAGCGCAGAAGCGGCACGTCATCGTGCCACGACATGATACACGTGGCGGCAGTTGCCTGAATGGGTATGCCGTGGGTTTCGGTTGTGCATCTATTGGTGCACGAAGGCTTTGCGATTGTCGCGAACTCCTCGTACGTGCCTGAAACCACACACGTTCGCTTCAACGTGCAAAACCATGTTTGCTCATAAACTCGAATCTTGTTCACTTTGGGGGGTTCGAGTGCCATCAGGATCAGCTTGACCCCAGAGTTGGCGAAAGAGTTTGCGAACAACTGCGAAACTAGTTACCACTCTAAGTTCGAACCTATTTTCGAACTTTATTTAGATTCACACACGCCCTAAAAGAGGGGATCTGAGCATGTGGCCGTCAGAAGAGGAATATATAGGAGCGCGTGCGCGGGAAAGAGGAACTGCTGCTGCGAGTAAATCCAGCACGAAACGATTGCGCGTGGCTATGTGTGCTGTTCTTTATTGAGTTCTCCGTGAGCTTGAGAAGACCAAGCATGATATGGCAACATGTTTATGAATGGTAGCTCGCACGGAACATGAATGCTGCTTGTGTCTTGATCATCTGGTGTCAGCTAGTTACAACCAGATTCATCTGTGCTAGATCCCTCAAATGGGTTTAGGGCGTGTAACCATTTTGATTTTGGGGGATTTTCTGGACCATCCGTATATTTTAAAACGGACTGTCCTAATATCAAGAACTGGACCGTCCGATGTGACGTTTCGGAATCTTGCCACCGTCCGGAGAGAAACATAACACTTTTTGCTAGCACTCCGACTTCGCGACTACTGTGGTCTCGCGCAGTTCCCGCGACACCCGTAACCAAATACACAAGCTGTCGCAATAAATATTTGTTTGCCAATCACTGTGCACTTTTGTAGAGTGAAATTCGCACGCCAATCCCTGAGCAGAACTGGCGGACTGTCCGTTGGGGTTTCGGACCATTCGAAATGCACATTTCAGACCGTTGGAAACATGAAAAAGTGTCATGCGACGTCGCAAGAGGTTTCACGAACACATACCGTAATCACCCGGACATACCACCCTAGGGTGCTATGATAACTACATCAAAAAAAGGGGGGGGGGGGGGGGGGGGGGGTCTTTTCATGCGAAAAAGCTACATAACACCCGGGTCTTTTTATAATGTACATTTTTTAAAAAGCAGAAACGGTTGGGAACAAAATGTACATGCTTGCTGTGGCGGTAGATTGTTGGTTGGGTGCGCAAAACCGAGGATGAGGCGATAACATCAGGGCGTGTGCACTTCGGGGGAAATTTGTCAAAGTTCGAACATTCACCGCTTTGCACCGAGTAGAACCTCGCTAAAAGTTCGAACTTAGAAGTTTGAACCCCTAGTGCACACGCCCTTAGCCTCGAGTGGAAGCTGCCACATTGCAAGCTCCAACATACCCTCTGTCATGCCCTGATTGGTCGAAAACACACCTCCCGTTGCTCGACGAGGATTTATGCAGTCAAAGAGGTGGGAGTCCCGCAACAGGCTTAGCAGCCTCGCTGGTGCGGTCACGTCCCTGCGCAAAATTTAGGCGAAAACAGAAAAATTTTCCCTACATACCCTCTCGGGGGTGCAAATTTAGGCATATCGTTTCAAAAAAACCTACTCTGTGTGCATGTACAATTTTTTTTGGTCTAGTCTGACGCACATTTTCCCCAACCTGGGGGAGTCTGATTTCACAGGATTCGTTTATGTTTCAGTCTGAAGTGGTCATTTTCCAAAATCCAAGATCAGACTAAAATTAATCTAAGTTAAAATGTCCTGGTAATTGTCCTTTGAGCCTGAGACTCATCCATCCTAAGATACCTAGCTATCTACCTACCTACCATTAAATCAGGCAGAGTACGACGCTCCTTTCCTATCTACCTACTTCTACCTAGCTACCACCAAACCAAACTCACGCACGCCAGATACACTAACTCTCAGGCTGATCCATGGCTATCTCCTCCACATCCTCCTCCTCATCCTCCTCGCGGAAAAGGTCGTCGTCCAGCGCCTGGCCCTCATCATAGGCCTCCTCCTCATCCTCCTCGTGGAAAGGGTCGTCGTCCAGCAGCGCATGGTCCTCATCATAGGCCTCCTCCTCGTCGTCCTCATCTGACTCATCACGATCCCACTCCAGCCCGCACACTACCCTCTCCCGTTCCTGGTCGTCCGCTAGCTCCTTCATCTTGCGCTTCCTCTCTGCTGCAGCGAAGACTAGAGTCTTCGCCGGGCGCCTTGGCTTCTCACGCCATTTGGCGAGGGCCTCAGTCCAGTCGATCTCGTAGTCAAGCAGGGAAACCGTCATCAGCTCCGCCAGGCGCGCGTTGCCTGGAGAGCCTCTCACCCAGGACTTGATGACGTTCTGGCGTGAGAATCCACGCTCGCACTCGACGGTTAACAGCGGCATCACGGCAGTTGCTTGCCATATCCGCATGATGTTGGGCCAGCGCCTGAAAAAACGACACACGAGCGTAAACATAGCTATTAGCAAAATGTTACAATTGCGTGAGAAGCACGGCTAAACAAGTCACATTGTATTATACCTGGAGGACTCAGCCACACCCATGAAGTTCTTGAGCCCTTGAAAAAACCCCTCATCCTCGTGGTGCGCCGCCATGATAGGAGCCCACGTGGCAAGCTCCTTCTCGGCTGCTTGCAGGTCGAAGCCAGGGAGTTTGTTGTCGAAGATAGCAGCGCATCCGTGCAGGTACTCTCGGGTCTTGCGGTCGCGCTGCTGCCGCGGCTTGGGCCACTTTGCTGCGCAAAAGAGCTTTGTTGGTGCCAACCTCCGTAGATCTGCAAGGCGGAAGTTCAGCCGGTTCACACACTCTTGTGCGAATTTCGCGCACAGCTTCTCGCACTCCGTGTACGTGCTGCCGTACTCGTGCCCTTTAATCTTCCTCTCATGTAGCTTGTGCTTGTGCGTCACTGCTTCACCTTCGCTGTCAACTCCGCGCACCTTCACCTTCTTCGACGCACTCCTCCCGTGCAATTTCAGGAACTCTGACAGTGCCGGGCTTTCTCCGCCTCCCATCAAGTCCTCGCACTCCAGATAGCGCCTGCGCAGGTCCCCCGTGGCCTCGTCAATGTCCTTGGCGATCTCGGTCACGTCGACCGGAATGGGATGAGAAGATGAGCAACACATGTTAGTGACGGGTTTGTATACAGAGGGTTTAGAAATCAAGAAACAAAGGCGGTCATCCTTACCTCACGCTTCTGAAACTTCACGTTGAGCTTGTTCATGATGCCAAGCACATCGGCAAGAAAGAAAAGGCAAAATTGAAACTTGTACGAGGTGACCACATCGTACAACTTGTGCTTGCTCTCATGCAAGAGCACGATCGATGCACCAAGGACCTTGGAAAAACGACGAACAGCCACACCACGAGACAGCCACCTGACCGCGTGGATGCCTTGAACTTCAAGGTTAGTTTTGTGAATCGTTCGCTGCAGGTACTGAAAGCACTGGCTGACGTTGCTGGAGTTCGTCAGTAGAGAAGCCACAGTCCGAATCACTCTGTCAATCATGGCCAGGTCTGGACATGCAAGGGCAGCGTCCTTTACCACTAATGCTTCCCTGCACATAAAACACAAAACAGAGAGACGGTTAGTGAAGCGTACCGGTACATGTGAATGTGCAATCGAGCAATATCCTGAACCCAACGAACCTGTGCGCGATACAATGTGAGAGGATCAGGTGTGGGATGTACTCTCGTAGACGAGTGACCAGGCCGTTGTCACACCCTACCATCACCGAGGCGCCGTCGGTGCTGATAGCGCAGATGCGGTTGATGTCCACTCCGACTGTCTGCAAATGACTCATGATGACCGAGAGCAGGGACGCCGCGTCACACTTCTCAACAGGTAGGTGTGCAAAGAACTTTGTAACGGGACGGTGGAAGCGAAGGAACGTCAAGTAGAGGATGAGGTGTTTCCCTCGCGTGCGATCCGTGCTCTCGTCGCAGCTGATGCCCAAAAACGGAGAGCTCTGGATATGTCGCAGCTGAGTTGCGAGAAGCAGATATGAGAGGCAGTGCACCATCTCTTGGAACCCGTACCTGCATGGAAACATATCAAGACAAATGCGTTAGTACGAGCAACAGTATGAACTTTATTCACTCTTAGGCACAAACGGTACTCACCGAGTAAGATACACGCCGTATGCCTGCCTGGGAATGTCCGGCGTGTCCTGCTCAGACATGAAACGCAGCAGGCGAGCGAACATAGAGATCGGAGCATCGACCTTACAGATGAACTCAGTGGCACGCAGAAGGCGTACCACCCTCCACCCCTCCGCGTCCCTCGTTGTGAAATCCTCGATTTTCTTCTGCTTGCCGTCCAGCGACTCTTCAATCTCCAACTGCCGCTCCACTGCCTCTTTGTGGACGTTGGAGTGCTCGTGTATCCGCATCGTTTACGTTTGTAAGTCGCGCGCACCGTCGCCAGGGCCTGAATACTTGGTGGTTTCCTTGCCAAAGGCACGTCAGATGCAGCACTTGAGCGAGGGATGCCCATCTTTGGCACGCACTAGCAGAAGCCACGGGAAATACGGAAGCCACTTCGAGTGGTAATTCGCCTCCGCCAAAAGCCACTTTTGCTCAATCTCCTCTTTCTTAGACAATTTGGGAGGAGGTGGCTTGTCGGGCGTTGCCACAGCCGGCGCTGAAGGGGGTGGAGAGGGTTTGCGGAATCTACCGCCAATAACCATTTTTCTCTGAACCCATTTCTGGGTACTATGCTTCTTTGGAACTGATTTGGTGACGGACGGCACGCTGTACCGAACGGTAGATGCAGTGTGAACAGTGACTGGGATGGGGCCCTTACTAGACGACGCTATGGCGGGCGCTAAGACTATTGGAGTTGGTGAAGGTGGAGCAGGCGTGGTGGCAGGAACAGACTCACGTATTACTGCCGTTGCTGCGGGGTGTAGGCAGTCTAGCCCCGACCTACCCACCACCTCCTTGGTATTAGGGTGGGCCGCATCAGGTGACTTGGGGCGGTCGCGTTCTTGGTCCGCCATGAACACAGTCACTGGAGCACAAATTGGAACACTGCTGGGAGAGCCAGCCGAGAAAACACCCTAAACCGCGGTGAAGGGAGCTGTGAAGAAGAAGGATCCCATGGTCCTTAACCCAATTGATGGGTGGTTGGCTGTTGCCGTTGGTATCGAGCCGCCATGCCCGTCACCCGCGCAGTGCTGTACCGTGCAGGACAGAGCGCGTAGTGATGGCACGGTGCAGTTCTCCCACTGACACAGCGTGGCAGCACTGTCACGGTTGCCACGTTTAAGGCACAGGAGGCACCGACCACAGAGGGGGTGGCAAATCTGCCAAGTTCAGATTTCGCATATGGGAGATAGCGAAGGGTTTGTCATGATGGCACGGCAACATGTGACGTTGAGGAAACTTCCTAGGACATACACATCCGCATTTCAGGATCCGTACGCTTCTTAGTCTGAAGGCCCATTATTGGCATAGCAATAAATCTGAAATTCCCAGTATTGCTAAAACCACACCTCTGAGGTGCTCAGTATTAGAAATTCACCAAGTCTGGAAATTCAGGAATCAGTGAAAAATAGTCTGTAATTTCAGACAATCAGACCATTTTAGTCTGATAAAATCAGCCCTGCCCGGGGGGTGTTCAATTTCGGCGGGTGGTATGTCCGGGTGATTACGGTATGCGACATACTGCGAGATTTGTAACCTGTCGCTAACCCGGACGGTCCACATTTCGGACCGTCCGGAACAAAAATAGGCAAAATGGTTACACGCTCTTAGGAGACACCAATTTCTGGCACTGTCTAAAATACATGCTGACCTGTTTCGCCGAATAATCATAAAATCGATGCGGAATATACGTTTCTGCTTTGTTGTGCATGGCAGTAGAGTCGCCAATAACGAGGATTACGGAGAATTCAGGGGTGATATCTTTCATCAGACTCATGGCACTCCGTCATGTTCTGTGATCTGTTGGTTGTTCCAGGTTTGCGACACCACTCTGGTAGCTGTAGCAAGCCATTGGCACGTCTTTCCCGCTGCCCTAATATCGTAGCCGAATCCACGGTTAGTATCTGCAATGGATGCCTTCGAGAGCTATTTCCGAGCGGCGGACACGAATGGCGACGGAGTCATTAGCGGGGCCGAGGCCGTCACCTTCTTCCGACGATCCGGCCTTCCTCAGATGACTCTCGCAAAGGCATGCCCGGCAATCAATCCATCGCGTAGACTCTCAAGATCTCGAAACTGTTTCGAGCTTCGTTATAATGCGAGCCGTTAAAAGGGACTGCATCACTGTGGCACAACCTTGGTGCTATCCCCGTCGCATTCTCACTCTTCCAACGCGCATAACCCATCTCTGTTCCGTTCTCTTCTCTCAGAAACTCGTTTCGTGTACGATAATATCTTCTTGCACGCAATAGCCTTGTCTCGCCTGCAGCCTCGTTGCGCTGCGTTAGTGTGCGAGCATGCAAACGGTCCTTTCCCAGGGCTCATATGAGCCACTCCTTAACGCATCCCTGTCTGTCTCCACCCGTGTCCGCTATCCGCCATCCACCAACCACTACTCACGTATTGCCATGCACCATGACTGCCGTTTCCTCTAACAACCCTCACTCCCCCACCCACACCTCCGCGCCTCTCCAAGTCTGGCAATACTCGGACATGCGTCATGCTGGGCCGTTCACCTGAACATGACTCAGAGTCCATCCTCCATTCCACCACCCTTACCACTTCCCCCTGTCTGTCATCTGCAACCCTTACCACTACTCCCTTCTGCAGGTGTGGCAGTACTCGGACGTGCGTCAGGCTGGCTCGCTCACGCGTCCCGAGTTCTTCAATGCGCTGCGCCTCGTCACTGTAGCGCAGTCGGGCCGGGACCTCACCCCCGACCTCGTGCGCGCCGCACTCAACGGCCCTGCCGCCTCACAGATCCCGCCTCCGCGCATCGCTGGAGCTGCTTCTCCTGCCACTGCCCCCCCTCCTGCCGCTGGTGCTCCTGCGGGTGGTGCTTCTGCTCCCCCTGCTGCTCGGGGCCCTGCTCCTGCTCCGTCTGTTGCTGCCGCTGCTCCTGCCACTGCCACCGCAACACCTGCAGCAGCAGCAGCAGCACCTCAGCTGCCCCGCCGCCCGTCGCCTGTTCCCACTCGTCCGGGGATGGGACCAGGCGCCGTTGCTGCTCCGCAGCCTCTCTCCTCCTTCCCCTCTGGCCTCAGCGTAGGCTCGGCCAGTGCAGGACTAGCCTCGGGAGGGCTGACAGCAGCAGCGGCAGCTGCGGGATTGAAGCCGAAGCAGCCTGGCGCTCTGTCGGACGTGTTTGCTGAGTTTGGATCGTTTGATGTGAAGTCTAAGTCCGTGCAGCCTACCAGTGCGCCTGTGCGGAGAGAGGTGCCAGGGTCGCTGCAGCAGCAGCAGCAGCAAGCGCAGATGGGGACGATTCAGCTGCAGCAGCAGATGGCTGTTAAGCAGCAGCAGGACCAGTTGCAGCAACAGCAGCAGCAGTGGCAGCAGCAGCAGCAGCAACAACAGCAGTTGCATCAGCAACAACAGGCGTTTCCGCCTCAACAGCAGCAGCAGGCGGCAGGGGAGGAGAAACCATCCCAAGGGCCTGCACCTGCTGCCACTACGTCCGCCCCTGCTGCCCCTTCTGCACCTTCCACTGCCGCCCCCCCTGCTGCCGACCAAAGCATGTCTTCCATTGCGCAGCCTCCTCCTGCCCCTGCTCTGGCTGTTGCTCCTGCTGCTCCTGTTGCTTCTGAGCCCACAGCAGCAAGTTCAGGAGCTGCAGATCCGGGTATGCAGGCAGCACCAGCAGTACAGGATGCAGACAAGAAGGGGGCTGGTGGAATGAGCACAGGAGCAGCTGGAGCAGCAGGAGCAGCAGCAACGGCGGAGGGAGCAGGAGGGAAGGTGAAAAGGACAGCAGACGACATTGCAAAGGCGTCTCTGAATGCCTTCCTTATCGGGGGTGTTTCTAATGCCATGGTGCCCAAGCAACCGCCAGCCCCAGCAGCAGCAGGAGCAGGAGCAGGGGTAGGAACAGGGCAGTTCGTTACAAGTCAAGCAGTTGTGCCTGCTGCCGCTCCTGGTGCTGTTGTCGCTGCTGGGGTGGCAGCAGCAACAGCAGGGGGAGCCGCGGCAGCAGCAGGGGGGGCAGCAGGAGGGGGGTATGTGATGGTCCCAGGTGACCCTCAGCCATGGCCCCGACTCACAGTGGCAGAGGTGCAGCGCTGTGCGCAGGTGTTCAGTGCGGTTGACACAGATAGAGATGGGAAGATCACAGGAGAGCAGGCGAGGAAGCTACTGATGAGCTACAAGGTCCCCATCGGTGAGCTCTCTTCGCCGTTCTTCCCTTCCTGTCCCACTGCATCTTTCCCTCCTCCGAGTTCTTCCATCCTCATCTTCCCTCCTCTTTTCCTCGTTCCTACTACTTCAATCCTTTATGTCTCCTCCATGCCACCCCTTCCCCTCTGCTCTCGTCTCCAGCTCTTCTCTCAATCCTGCTTGCCCCTGCCTCCTCCTTCACCCCTTCCCCTTCATCTCCCCCCCACCCGCTTCCCAGATGTGCTGAAGCGGGTGTGGGACATGGCAGACCAGGACAAGGACGGCATGCTCACCCTGCGAGAGCTCTGCACCGCTCTGTACCTCATCAACCATGTGAAGGCGGGCCGTCAGCTGCCGCCCACCCTGCCCCAGGGCATCCACCTGGACGAGCAGCCGCCACCCCCTGCTGCATCCACTGCTGCTGCTGCTGCTTCTGCGCCTGTCCCTACGTCGGCTGCTGTGTCAGCCAGCACAGCTACCACTGCCGCTGCAGCTGCTGCAGGAGGGGGGCCGGGAGGGGAGGGAGGAGGGGGTGCAGCAGGTGGGGCTGGTGTGCAGGCCGTGACTGCTTGGCGACACCAGCCAGGTGCGTGGGGCGGTAAGGGGCAAGGAGCATTCATGGGGTCACGTAAGCCCCTGCTGTGCGTGCGCTTGTGGGCTTGAACATGTTCCTGCAATGTTCCACACCATACGAGTGTATGCTATGCTGGAAAGGCATAGGACAGCTGCTATTAGTGCCGGGACACAGTTTGAATATGTTGGGCTTTGGGCGCGCTCTTGTTCATTGCTTGCCACATTGGTTCCTTTGTAGAATCTTTTTCTCAACCACCATCTCCCGTCCCGTGCCAGCAGTGAGTGCCACCCCCGAACAGCAGCACCAGCAGCAACAACAGCGACCAACAGTAGTGGTGCGTCACTTACCCCCGTCCCCTCCTTTTCGTATGCCCATTTCATGCCTTTCTCTTTCCTTTTCTCCTCTATCATGATCCCACCCTCCTTCCCCCCCTCGTGTCCTCCTCCCCTTCCTCGCCCCTTCCCATGCTCCCTGCATCATGATCTGCTTCGTCTTCCTCCCTCTCGCAAATATGGATGATGTTTGTTTGTTTGTTTGTTTGTTTTAATCTTAAAACGTGAATTCACAGTGTATAAAATCTAATGTCTCCACCAGCCTAACCCATGCCCATGCCTCACCACGCAACCGTACCAGACACACTCCCATCAGTTGACAGGCGCGACGCGAGGCAGATGCCACGCCAGCAGGGGCAGGAGACGTGGATGCAGAGGAGAGCCAGACCATAAAGTGAAACCCCACAACACATCCCATACCCACCTGCTTAATCCATGCCCTGCCTAATCCATGCCCTGCCTAATCCATGCCCTGCCTAATCCATGCCCTGCCTAATCCATGCCCTGCCTAATCCATGCCCTGCCTAATCCATGTCCCACCACGCTGCCCCACCCCACCCCATACCCATCAGCTGACAGGAGTGGGGCAGATGCCAGTGCCAGCAGAGGCAGGAGACGTGGATGCATCTTGGCCCGTGTACCGCTCCGCTCTCAGGCGCCTGACCTGGAGGCCGTGAACATGAATCCCCACACCTCATCCCATATCCACATACCCAACCCATGCCTTAACATGCAACCCCACACACCACCAGTTAACAGGAGTGGGGCAGATGCCGGTGCCAGCAGAGGCAGGAGACGTGGATGCATCACGGCCCGTGTACCGGTCCCAGGCACCTGACCTGGAGGGGGAGAAGGTGGCTCAGCTGGACGCGGAGGAGCGGGAGAAGATCGAGAGCAAGCACAAGGAGGCCGAGGAGATCGGAAAGAAGGTGAGGCAATGGGGGATGGGGGGGAGGGGGGATTTCTGGGTGGGACTTGAAGAGTAAAATGGAGGGGGAGAAGATTGAGAGCAAGCACAAGGAGGCTGAGGAGATTGGGAGGAAAGTGAGGCAAGGGTGAGGGAGAGGGATGGACGTGGCGGGGGGCCAGTGAAGGGGAGGAAGATATTAGACCTTTTTTGTTTCGGTGCTGTGAGGATGTGGTCCTGTTTCCTTGCTCGTTCGTGCTGCCTCGCCTTGTTGCCCAACCCAACCCCCCCTCTCCTCAACTCGGCTTCCCCTTCTTGTGTTCTTTCACCTGCTCGCTTTTTCACCTGCTCGCTTTTTCACCTGCTCGTTTTTCACCTGCTCGCTTTTTCACCTGCTCGCTTTTTCACCTGCTCGCTTTTTCACCTGCTCACTTTTTCACCTGCTCGCTTTTTCACCTGCTCGCTTTTTCACCTGCTCGCTTTTTCACCTGCTCGCTTTTTCACCTGCTCGCTTTTTCACCTGCTCGCTTTTTCACCTGCTCGCTTTTTCACCTGCTCGCTTTTTCACCTGCTCGCTTTTTCACCTGCTCGCTTTTTCACCTGCTCGCTCTTTCACCTGCTCGCTCTTTCACCTGGTGCTGATGATTCTGTATTGATGATTATTGGAGGGGGGGTGGGGGGAAAGGGGGGTAGGGGGATAGGGGGAGGGGTAAGGGGGGGGAGAGGGGGGGAGGGGGGGGGGGGTGGTGTGCGTGCGAGTGTGCTGTGTGTGTGTGTGTGTGTGTGTGTGCGTGTGTGTGTGTGCGTGTGTGTGTGCGTGTGTGTGTGTGTGCGTGTGTGTGTGTGTGTGTGCGTGTGTGTGTGTGCATGCGTGTGTGTATGACTGCCTCCCTATGTGTGTTACTGCCCCCACGTATGCCTGACCCCCCGCTGTGTGTCTGTGTGCATGCTGCCACGTGCAGGTGTGGGAGACGGAGCTACAGATAGCGGACTACAGGCGCAAGATTGACTTCTACCGCGTCAAGATGCAGGAGATCGTGAGCCCCCTCCCCACCCTGCCTTCTCTCCCTCTCTTCACTCATGCCCCGCATTGCCTTTACTATCTTGGATTCAGCCCTGCTGGTTGTGTTTTCTGCTCTTGCTTTATGCATGTAATGCAACTCGTTCTTGTCCCGCCCAATGTGCCACCCTGACCATATCATGCCATTCGCTCTTGCTTCATGCATGCAATGCACTTAATTCCATCAGTCCCATTCTTTCTTATCAGTCCCACTGTCAGTTAGCTCGCACGCGTGTCTCATCCCCACCCATCCTTTTTTGTTGCATCCTTGCACCTGTGTGCCTCTTCCCATGGCCCCCTGTCATTGTGCATGTGTGTGCTGTGCTGTGCCACTGTCGTGCCATGGGTGGCATCAGATCATGTTCAAGAGTCGCTGTGACAACCGCTTGAATGACGTGACGGAGCAAGTGGCAGCGGAGAAGAGACATGTGAGTGGCGGGGGGCGGTAACAACCGCTTGGCTGGGGGTTGAGGGGGCATGTGGGTGGCCGGGGGTGAGGGGGCATGTGAGTGGCAGGGGGGTGGGAGGCATGTGGGTGGCAGGGTGGGAGGGATGAGGTGGCAGGCGAACAAGGTGCTATGTAATGCTCATATTGAACCACGAGATGCCCCTATTGCCTCCAATGTTGCCATTGCTTTTGGTTGTGTTTTGCTTTTTCTGTTGTCTTTATTCCTCTAACCCCCCTCACCACCTCCGTTGCACCCGTGGTGCTGTATGGTGTGGTGCGGTGTGGCATGGTGTGGCATGGTGTGGTGTGGTCTGATGGTGTGCCATGGCAGTACGACATGCTGTGCAAGCGCTACGACGAGCGCTTCAAGGCGTCCATGCCAGGTGTCAAGTCGCGATTGGCCTACGAGGACAGTGTGCTAAAGGAGCTGCAGGTGGGTGTCTTTCGGTGTTAAATTGCTGTGCGCTGCTGCTTGGGTTGGTGCCTCTCATCCGCCATGCCATGTGGTTCCATGCCAATATATCTTCCCACGTGCCACCCTGCGTGCCAAACCATTGCCTCCCCACGTGCCTCCTATATGCCACCTCATTCACGTGCCCCCACACCACCAGGATCGCAAGGCGGCGCTGATGGAGGTGGTGTTGCGATTCCGTGCCACCACCACCACCGCTGACGCCTCATGTGCCACTTAACGTGCCGTGCCATCCCATGTGTCACTCCCATGTGCCACCCCATTTGCAACCCCACTCGCACATGCTGACCCCTCCCCCCACAGGATCGCAAGGCAGCGCTGATGGAGGTGGTGTCGCGATTCCGGGCCACCACCACCGCTGACGCCTCCGACCTGCTGCAGGTGCGTGCTCGCTCACTTGCTGCGCGTCCTTGCCGTTGCCAGAGCAGAGGCCCCTTCTCTCCTCTCCAATCCTCTTCGCGCGTCTCTCCTCTCTTCTAGTCTTACTACTTTCCTCGCCTGCGTGCAAGGCTATTTCCCCTCGTCCCTTCCACCATACCACCCCCAGCGTATCATTGCCCCTCTTCCCAGGGCACACATGACTTTTGAGACGTCTCAAAACTCCCCAGGGCGCACATGACCACCCTCTCTTCCATTCCGCCACCCGTGTCAATCCCCCCTGCTCTCTCTACAGGGCCGAGCGGACAAGCTAGGCATGGATCTGGAGGACGCACGGAGGGCCATCAACCGCCAGGCCAAGGACCTGGGACTCAAAGTGCGCCCCCTGCTCGGCGCTGCCTCGGGGCCTGATGGTGGGCTCTCCCGCTCACTCGCTCCCACACATTTGTTCCCACACACTCGCTCCCACACATTTGTTCCCACACACTCGCTCCCACACATTTGTTCCCACACACTCGCTCCCACACATTTGTTCCCACACACTCGCTCCCACACATTTGTTCCCACACACTCGCTCCCACACATTCGTTCCCACACACTCGCTCCCACACATTCGTTCCCACACACTCGCTCCCACACACACTTGCTCTAGTTCACCAATTTTATTTCGTCCACACAGATAGTGTTTCTTGACGCGTCATCCACCTCTTTTACATGTTCTGCTTGGCTTGCCCTCCTGTTCTGCCTTGTATGCCTGCATTGCTTACACATGCATGCATTCATGTTGCTCTGGACACGCTACCATGCATGAACGCATGGATGCATGCATGCACGAATGCATGTTGGGTTGTGGACGGATGCTGCATGCAGCGTGGCGAGTGGCCCTGCAGGAGAACATGGCGGACTGTGATGATGACTGGGACGAGTTCATGGACCAAGGTGAGGCCATGCCAGGTGATGTGAAGTGAAGTGAGATGGGGTGCGGTGGGGTGAGGTGAGACGAGGTGAACCTTCTCTCCCTTCTGCCAGGCCATGTGCGGCAATGTAAGCCACGGTGGTGGGACTGTGATGATGAGGCGATGCCAGTTGACGAGAGGTGATGAGGTGCGGTGAGGTGGTGTGAGTTATGGTGAGGTGAGGTGGGCCTTTCCTCACCATCTCCTGGCAACGTGTGGTCTTGTAAGCCACTGTGGCATGATTGTCACACCTGCCCGCATGCGCACCTCTCCCCACGTACCTCCCCTTTCCTCTTCCACAGGCTTCTCAGTGGTGCGCACTCGCGCACGAACGACCCTGCTGGGGGGAGACGATGAGAAGTCAGTGTGCTAGAGCCTAGAGCCCACACCCACCTCCTTCCACCCCTCACTCCCCATACATCCTCTCTCGTTTCCCCACGCTCCTCCCTTCCACAGACTTCTATGTGGTGCGATCGCGCACATACGACCTGCTAGAGAGAGGCGCCCCTACAGAGAGGCGCCCCTAGAGAGAGGCGCCCCTAGAGAGAGGCGCCCCTACAGAGAGGCGCCCCTAGAGAGAGGCGCCCCTACAGAGAAGCGCCCCTACAGAGAGGCACCCCTAGAGAGAGGCGCCCCTACACAGAGGCGCCCCTAGAGAGCGCTTACATCCACTCCCTTCCAACTCCCACTCCCTATCCATCTTCCCCATCCCCCCACCCCCTCGCCTCTTCCACAGGCTTCTCAGTGGTGCTCTCGCGCACGGACGACCTGCTGGGGGGAGACGACGACCCGCGCCCCCCCTTGGCCCCGTCACCCCCTCCACCCTTCCCCTCGCCCCCATGCTGCCCCCACGCTCCTCCCTTCCACAGGCTTCTCAGTGGTGCGATCGCGCACGGACGACCTGCTGGGGGGAGATGATGACGAGCCGGCGCCCCTCATCCCCCTCGGCCCCATCAACCCCTCCACCCCGCCCCGTGCCCCCTGCCCTTTGCCCCTGCTGCTGCCCCCAACCCCCCCCTTCACAGGCTTCTCAGTGGTGCGATCGCGCACGGACGACCTGCTGGGGGGAGATGATGACGAGCCGGCGCCCCTCATCCCGCTCGGCCCCATCAACCCCTCCACCCCGCCCCCTGCCCCCTGCCCTTTGCCCCTGCTGCTGCCCCCAACCCCCCCCTTCACAGGCTTCTCAGTGGTGCGATCGCGCACGGACGACCTGCTGGGGGGAGATGATGACGAGCCGGCGCCCCTCATCCCCCTCGGCCCCATCAACCCCTCCACCCCGCCCCGTGCCCCCTGCCCTTTGCCCCTGCTGCTGCCCCCCCCCCCCCCCCTTCACAGGCTTCTCAGTGGTGCGATCGCGCACAGACGACCTGTTGGGGGGAGACGATGACGAGCCGGCGCCTCTCATCCCCCTCGGCCCCGTCACCCCCTCCACCCCGCCCCGTGCCCCCTGCCCTTTGCCCCTGCTGCTGCCCCCAACCCCCCCCTTCACAGGCTTCTCAGTGGTGCGATCGCGCACAGACGACCTGTTGGGGGGAGACGACGACGAGCCGGCGCCCCTCATCCCCCTCGGCCCCGTCACCCCCTCCGCCCCGGCCATTGCCCCCGCTGCTGCCCCGGCCCCCGCTAAGGCTCCTGCTGCTGCTGGAGCTGCTGGTGAGGCTGCTGCTGCTGGTGATGGTGCTGTTGGTGCTGCTGTGTCGGCTTGGGCTCTACTGGAGGAGGAGGAGGAGAGGAGGGCGCGGGAGGAGGTGGAAGAGGGGGAGAGAGAGGAGGAAGAGGAGGAGGAAGGAAGGGAGGAGGGTAGGGGGGTTGGGCAGCTGGGCGGGTGGTCTAGAGGCAGTAGGCGGGGGCGAGGGGGGATGGGCGAGGAGGAGGAGGAAGGGGGGCATGTGGTGGAGGAAGAACCTGAGACACCTCAAGGGTGGGTCTACTTTACACTTGATTTCAAATAGATGATCTATCAGTCAACTCACGAGCCTGCAGAATCTATGAATTAGCTACGGGTCACATCACTGGGAAGATATTAGCTGGTGCTTTCATTTCAGGCCACTGGCGTCCATTTGCCAGGGTCGTGTTCTCCCTCACTGTTCATTTCCTTTGTTCCCATCAGCTGCACCTTCCTTTCGTCGCTCTGCTCCCTCACCTGCTCATGCCCCTTGCTGCTTGCAGCCCATCAGCATGGGACAGCCGCTTTGGTTTTAGGGGAGACAGAAACCTCCCATCAGCCTCAGGGGTGGACTCGCCGTCTGTCTCCCAGGTCACCACTCCACCTCCCATCATGCCCTTGCCGCTGCTTCTTCTTCCCCTTCCTCTCTGCCCTTGCTTCACTTATTTCCTCTCCTCTCGCCCCTCCCCCTCGACCTCATTATACGCCAAATTCTACGTAAATCCTGCATATCCTTTCCCAAACCCTCTTCTTCTCCTGGCACTGCACACTGCTTCACCCCCTTCATCTTCCTGTCCCCTGCATCTGTCCCATGCTGCTCCGCCCACCAATCACAGTCCATGGACTTCCAGCCCTCAGCCTTCGCCGGCCAGGACTTTGCCTTGGGATTCGACCATCACTTCGACGCCACAGGTTCGGGCTTCCGAGCCTCCAGCCAGTATGACTCCAATTTCCGAGCCTCGAGTGAGTTTGACTCGCATGCACATGCACACCCTGAGGACTCAGCAAGTGCATCTGAGCAGTCAGGGCCAGGGTTTGGCCGCCCGGACGATTACTCCGAGGTGGCTTCGGGCGGCGCTGCAGGATTTGATTCTGCTGCAGGATTCGACTCTGCTGCGGGATTTGATTCTGCATATGGAAGTGGGAGGGGCAGCGGTGTGTCAGCATCGCGATTTGATGAGCATGTGGGAGAGGAGGATGCTTCTTCTGCAGACAACACTCCCATGGCAGGCACTGCAGGGCATTTCTCCCAGCGTGGGTGGGGTGCTTTCTGAACACTGGTGCACACACCTTCTTAATTACAACCACTGCCACTATGCTAAGGGAAACTGCCACGGCCACCATCACCACAGCCACCACCACGGCCACGGCCACTGCCACGGCCACGGCCACGGCCACTGCCACTGCCACTGCCACTGCCACTGCCACTGCCACTGCCATTGCTACGGTACTGTATGGTAGTAACCCTATGGCACAGTCACCATCATCACACCACTGCCTGCTGACTAAACGCCGGTCCCAGATGGAACCTTTGCACCAGGGGGTCCTCCAACACCTGCTCAAACGTCCTGCACGCCACTCTTCCTTCATGCATCACGTACGCGCGGTCACACATCCCCAGCATCACACTACTGCCTGACGACTGAACGCCGGTCCCAGATAGAACCTTTGAACCATGGGGTCCTCCAACACCTCATCCGGCGTGCTGCACGCCACGACCCTTCCCTCATGCATCACATATGCGCGGTCACACATCCCCAGCGTCACAATGCCGCCTGTCGAGCAAATGCCGGCTCCAGATAGGACCTTTGCTCCAGAGGGTCCTCCAACACCTCATCCGGCATGCCACACGCCACGACACACCCCTCATGCATCACGTGTAAAGAGTGGATTTTAGAGACGTCTCAAAAATTCACTCTTTACACGTGGCTTCTCTCTTTCTGGTTCCTGTAGATTTCTGTTAGCATGGAAGTTATCTTCCCGCTTACGTCAAAGACTGATTCAACCGAGGCTCCGACACGTCGCAGTTTGACATTTCGCGCGACGAAGTGGTGTTGCCACTTTTTCGAATCTTCGGCCCTGGTTACCAGCTTCTTCAAACACCCCAGTTGGGTTCGAACAGCTTGGGTCTGAGTCACCGGTCTACCTTGAGATCTCCGCCTCGACATTTCATTCATCTGCCTGGTTAGCTTAGCCTGTCCGTAGAGTATATCAGCTCGCTTGATTCATTACCGATGCTTAGATTCAGTCTTGTTTGTACTGTTGAAGGCTTGAAAAAGCCGAAACTAGTTTACTCAAGTACTGATCTTAAGCCTACATTCTGATCAATCTGGCTCTCTAAAACACGTACTAGCAACAGTTCACCAGGACCATCTAATTTGATGGAAGTAAGACCTCCGCAGCCCACCTGTTTACTGATAACAGCACATACGCGCGGTCGCACACCCCCAGCGTCTCCGCCACATTATGATCCGTGATGAGAATGGCCATTCCGTCTTGCTTTCTCAGGCCGCACAGCACAGCATGCTCCGCATGGAGGTAACCTAATGCCCATTCACCACCATCACAGCATTGCCTGACGACTAAACGCTGGCCCCAAGTAAAGCCTTTGCACCAGGGGGTCCTCCAACACTTGTTCGGGCGTGCCGCACGCCACCACCCTTCCTTCATGCATCACGTACGCGCGGTCGCACACCCCCAGTGTCTCCGCCACATTATGGTCCGTGATGAGAATGGCCATGCCGTCGTGCTCCCTCAGCGCGCTCAGCATGCTCTGCATCAGCTGCACTCCGATGGGGTCCACACCTGCAAACGGCTCATCGACCATTAGCAGCCGTGGCGGGTTGCAATCGCTGTCCTTTACTGCCAGGGCTCGGGCTACCTCCTAATTGTCGGGTGAGGGTGGGGGAGGAGGAGGATGGGGGAAGGGGAGGGAGAGAATGGGAAGCTCCATGGATTGGCGTGAAGGAGCTTCTGTGGCACATGGGTGCATGCCTGCCAAGTGATTCATCCAAGATGGACAAAGCAAGGCGCACATGTAAGCACGTGCAGGGACGAGTGCTCGCACACATGCACATGAAAGCACATGAGCATGAGAGAGCACGTACCGCTCTGCGCCGCTCTCCACCTGACAGGTGGCGCCCGAGAGTGTGTGCCACGTGGACCAGGTCGAACTTGCGTAGCAGCTCCTGGGGGGAGAGGAGGGGGGAATGGGGAAGAGGAGAGAGGGGATGAGGGAAGAGGGAGGAGGAAGCGGGGTGGAGAGTGAACGCAGAGAACATGCCACAGGCCACAGTGGGCGTGGCATGGGCACGCCATGGGCACAGCAAGAGCATGCATCCACAAATCCATACATGAACGCAAGCACGTGCGCACCTCAATCCGGGCGTCATGCAAATGGTGCGGCAGGGGCCCCTCCTCGAGAACAAGCCGAATGCTATCCGCCACGCTCAGCCCGCGGAAGATGCTCGCCTCCTGCGCCAGGAACGCCACGCCCATCCGCGCCCGCCGCTCCAGGGGAAGGCCGGTGACGTCAGCGCCGCCCAATCGCACGGCGCCAGCTGTCGGGGTCTCGCGGCCGACGGCGATGCTGAAGGTGGTGCTCTTGCCCGCGCCGTTGGGACCCAGTAGACCCACCTGGTGGGGGAGAGGGGGGAGGGAGAAGGGGGAAGTGGGGGGATTTATTGCCATTCTGATGGTGCCATTTGGAATGGTGATGGTAACAACAGCGACGGCGATGCTGAAGGTGGTGCTCTTGCCCGCGCCGTTCGGTCCCAGCAAACCCACCTGGTGGGGAGGAGGGGGGGAGAGAGGGGGGGAGAGGGTGGGGGAGAGTGGGGGGGAGAGGGGGGGGAGAGGGGGGGAAGAGGGGGGAGTGAGGGGTGGTTGGCATGGTGATGGTAATGGTGCCATTTGGGATGGTGGTGGTGGTGGTGGTGGTGATGGTGGTGGTGGTGGTGGTGGTGGTGGTGGTGGTGGTGGTGGTGGTGGTGGTGGTGGTGGTGGTGGTGGTGGTGGTGGTGGTGGTGGTGGTGGTGGTGGTGGTGGTGGTGGTGGTGGTGGTGGTGGTGGTGGTGGTGGTGGTGTGGTGGTGGTGGTGGTGGTGGTGGTGGTGATGGTGGTGGTGGTGGTGGTGGTGGTGGTGGTGGTGGTGTGGTGGTGTGGTGGTGGTGGTGGTGGTGGTGGTGGTGGTGGTGGTGGTGGTGGTGGTGGTGGTGGTGGTGGTGGTGGTGGTGGTGGTGGTGGTGGTGGTGGTGGTGGTGGTGGTGGTGGTGGTGGTGGTGGTGGTGGTGATGGTGGTGGTGGTGATGGTGGTGGTGGTGATGGTAATGGTGCCGTTTGGGATGGTGGTGGTGGTGGTGGTGGTGGTGGTGGTGGTGGTGGTGGTGGTGGTGGTGGTGGTGGTGGTGGTGGTGGTGGTGGTGGTGGTGGTGGTGGTGGTGGTGGTGGTGGTGGTGGTGGTGGTGGTGGTGGTGGTGGTGATGATGTTGTCACGGAAAGAGATGAGTGATGGGAGAGGATTCGCAGCAACGGTAGCAGAAGCATATCTTAACGCGGATTCCTCACGAGGGAAAATGCGTGAGGGGGATAAGAGGGGCGGAACGAAACCCCGACGGACGGTCTGAGAGGAAGGAAGGTCGTTACGATTTCTCGCGGATTCACGTGGAGCGACACGTCATCCAGAATCACGCGGTTGCCGAATCTCATCCCGATTCCTTGCAGATCCAAACACCGCGATTCTGCGACGTTCTTGCCTGCACCGTCGTCGCTCGCACCCGCTTCCTCTGCGACATCGCTTGCCAAGGTGCTGCTCTGCGACAGCCAAGCAGATCGTAATACGATTGAGGAACGACTGAAAGACTGGAGCTTGGAGAATGTCCTGATGACTGTGCGACGATGGGATTACCATCTGAGAGTTATGCCGCGCGACGAATCGCGGAACGAGATCGAACGTCGCTTGGATCGCATGCGACCTGTGATGCTAAACGGCGCAAGGCCTCGACATGGAGTGACACCAGCGCTTGAGGAAAGAGCCACGAGGCTTCGAGTGCCCATATTAGCCATTACCGAACTTATTGTCGTAATCTATTGTGAGGAAGGAAAGCAGACATAGTAAAAGCGCCAGGATGTTCACGACATGCGACTAGTGAGAAGAAATGTGGGGCGATTTCGCACGCAACATAGCGAGTGATGACTGTTCGACCGCGATGAATGTTGCGAAAATACTTTCGCAAATTACCGTCGTCCCATTCCCCTTCCCTGCCAACACACTTCCGCGGCTGTTTTGCAGTTCAGGTTTTGAAAAGGTTAATAACGATTCAAGGCAGTAACAAGACTGACCGCTTTAAGCTGCACAACATCGTACTCAACCGTTGTCACCGAGCAGAAAGTGAAATCTCTATGCAAGTCACAACATCACGCAGCAGAGTATCTGCTAGCGCCAGCCATAAATTAGGTCAACCACCTGCATCATTCATTCCTCATCGCCTTTGCGGCGCGTTGAGTCGGTCGTTTCTCCTTTTCCTTACCTAGTCGCTCGCTACTCATTGTCCTTTTTTTTTCACCCTATTCCTCGCCGTCCTCCTGTTTTCCCTTGTTCCACCGCGTTGGCAGCTGCTGTCCCCTGACTCCTAATTGACTTTCCCATGTGCCATTCATAACGTCGAAATAGGTCTACTTTCTCGTTACCAGCCTTTCTTATCAATGTCTTCCACAGCGTTATCGTGGTGCTTCTAGAAAACAGCCATGGGGCAGCGTGAACCGTAGCTCGCGTAGAACAGCTTTTTCTTCGTTCCCTTAGGCGCACCCACCCTTCATTACACGCACGCTACCAGCTACTCAGCGTAACTGCCTATTCCTAACTGAAGTCTCTCCTCCGTAACCGCCTCACTAACCCTTTCCCAAACTCGCATTTCGCAATAACGAGTCATGGACGACTGTGACTGTATCGGAGGGCAGTGGGCCACGGACGACCTACTAATCCGCTACCAGTACGTCTCGGACTTCTTCATAGCCCTCGCCTACTTCTCCATCCCCCTCGAATTAATCTACTTCGTAAAAAAATCCGCCGTCTTCCCCTACCGATGGGTACTGGTCCAATTCGGCGCGTTTATAGTCCTCTGCGGCACCACGCATTTGATCAACATGTGGACTTTTCGCGAACACACGCGAACCGTCGCCTTCGTCATGACCATCGCGAAAGTCCTCACGGCCGTCGTGTCGTGCGCGACGGCGCTCATGCTCGTGCACATCATTCCCGACCTCCTCTCGGTGAAGACCCGCGAGCTCTTCTTAAAGAATAAAGCCGCGGAGCTGGATCGCGAGATGGGATTAATCCGCACGCAGGAGGAGACGGGGCGGCACGTGCGCATGCTGACGCACGAGATCCGCTCGTCGCTGGACCGCCCGACGATTCTCAACACGACGCTCGTGGAGCTGGGGCGCACGCTGCAGCTCGACGAGTGCGCGCTCTGGATGCCGGCCAACCTCGCTGGTGAGAGATTGGTGTTTGGTGAACTGGGTGGCGATAGGGGCGAGACGAGGGGTAGGGTGAGAGCATGGGAACATTTGGTTTAAAACTGGAATAGAGTACCTCGGAGGTCATTGAACAAGCGTGGGAAGGTTGTGTCAGGTGAAAGGGCAGGTGTGGGATTGAATGGGCGCACATTGTAACATCATCGTCACCATCTCTCACTAGATGTTTTCACTATTCTCACTATCCTTTCCCCCACCCCCCCTTTCCTCTCCCATCATCGTCTCTCCCCTATCCTCCCACAACAATCACCTCCCCCACCACCCTCCATGATTTCCTTCCTCTTCTTACCATCCCCTCCCTCCATCCGCCACCCATCCCTCTCCCCAGGCGACGACGACGAGGACGGCGGCGGGTCCCCATCAGACCTCCAGCTCATTCACACGCTGCATCAGCCCAAGCCCCCGCCAGTCACCGTCACGCTCGCACACCCCACAGTCAAACAAGTCTTCAGCACCAGCCGCGCCGTCGTCATTTCTCCCAACTCGCCCGTCACCGCCATCCCGGGCGGCGGCGGCCGGGCGGGCGGCAACCGCTACGTGGCCGGCGACGTCGTCGCAGTGCGCATCCCTCTCCTCCACGCCAACACCTTCACGGGCGGCGGGGCGGGCGGCGCGGGCGGCAGCGACTGGCAGGACTCGCGGGAGAGGAGCTACGCGTTACTCGTCCTCATGCTCCCAGCCGACAGCGCGCGCCGGTGGCACGTGCACGAGCTAGAAATGGTCGAAGTGGTGGCGGATCAAGTGGCAGTCGCACTCTCCCACGCGGCCATCCTAGAAGAGTCCATGCACGCTCGAGATCTTCTCATGGAGCAGAACGTCGCTCTCGACCATGCGAGAGCGCAAGCCGAGAAGGCCATCCGCGCGCGAAACGATTTCTTAGCTGTGATGAACCACGAGATGCGGACCCCCATGCACGCCATTATCGCTCTCTCCACGCTGCTCCAGGAGACAGAACTGACTCCAGAGCAGCGCAGCATGGTCGATACGGTGCTGAAGTCCAGTAACCTGCTCGCCACGCTCATTCACGACGTGCTTGACCTCTCCCACCTGGAAGACGGCAGCATGCTGCTGGACGTCCGCACCTTCAACCTCCACGGGACCTTCCGGGAGGTTGCCTCGCTGGTGAAACCGGTCGCGTCGGTGAAAAAGCTGGGAGTGACGCTGCGGCTGCAGTCGGATGTGCCGGAGTTTGCGTCGGGGGATGAGAGGCGGCTGCTGCAGACGGCGCTGAACGTGGTGGGCAATGCCGTGAAGTTTACCAGGGATGGCAGCATCACCATTACCGTGTGCCTGGAGCGGCCTGAGTTTCAGCGTGATAAAAACTTTCCGAAGTTCGTGCCGGTGGTGGTACTGGGAGACAAGCACTTCTACATCCGCGTGCAGGTGAGCAGCGGGGCGTCTGTTGCACCTCGGGAACTTGTTGAGGGGCACGTCGGGGCTTTTGTTGCATGCACAGGGCAATGCTCTCAGGTTGAGGAAACTTGTGATCACCGCGGTGGTGGCGCTGGGAGAGAAGCACTTGTATGTCCGCGTGCAGGTGAGTGGCACTGGGTGGGCTATTGCTCGTGCTGGTGATTCCAGTGCCGCTGCTTGGGTTTGTGGTGGGGCTGGGGGGAATACACTACTGTATCCGCCTGCAGGTGATCTGCAGGTCTGCTGCCGCTGCTGCTGTCGCTTCTGGTGCTGCTTTTGGTTGTTCACTTCTGGGCTACTTGGATCCGTGCACCCACATGTCCCCCCATCCCCATCCCTGGGCGGGCAAGAGCAGGTGAAAGACATGCGCGTGGGGCTGTCTGGGGCAGGAGGATTAGGGAAAGTTGTCTTTGCTCACGTGTGTGGGTAATGCTTTCCTTGTTTCCCTTCCTCGTCCCGCCCTCCCTGTCTTGTCGACGAGCAGGTGAAGGACACGGGAGTGGGGCTGAGGCAGGAAGATCAGAGGAAGCTGTTCAGCAAGTTCGTGCAGGCAGATGCTACCACCACCCGCAACTATGGCGGCACCGGGCTTGGCCTTGCTATCTGCAAGCGGTGAGGATGGGTGGAGTAGGGTTGAAGAGTAGGGTCTAGAGGTGACGAAGGGCAGTGGCAAGTTGGTGCAGGCAGTCGCCACCACCACGCGCAACTATGGCGGCACCGGGCTGGGCCTCGCCATCTGCAAGCGGTGAGGGGGAGAGATAGGAGTGAGACGTTGGGGGAAGGTAGGGGGGTGTGAGATGTGGGCGAGAGGCAGGGGGGCTAGTGGTGGTGGGCAGCGGTGGGGGATTGCGGGGTGGCGAGGGGCTGGCTGGGCAAGGGGCAGGGGGCAGTGGCAAAGCACAGTGCAGGCGGACGCCACCACCGGGCTGGGGCTCGCCATCTGCAAGCGTTGAGGGGGAGGGGAGGACGTGGTAGAGTTGGCAGGGGGACAGTCGTGGGCGGGGGAGGGAGATCGGGAGTAGCAGTGGCTAGGGATGCTATCTATACTCTTATCCGCCCATGCAGCCATGCCGTCTGTAACAACCCACTCTGATGGGCGGGTACATTTGGGTGGAGAGTGTGGGGCCGGGCAAGGGATGATACCTAAACTCTTATTCCCCCATGCCCGTCCCATAACCACCCTTCCCTATTCCTCCCTTTCCCTTCGCAGCCCATCCCCCAGCTTCGTGAACATGATGGGGGGGCACATCTGGGTGGAGAGTGAGGGCCCGGGCAAGGGATGGTGGCGTTATTCCTCCATGCCCACCGCAACCACTTATTCATCTTTCGGCATCCCACCCGAAACACACACAGCTTCGTGAACATGATGGGGGGGCACATCTGGGTGGAGAGCGAGGGCCCGGGCAAGGGAACGACGGTGACGTTTGTGGTGCGGCTGGGACTGCCAGAGAAGGCCGACGACTGCACCAAGGCTCCTTTCCCTTCCTCTGCCCCCCTCCCCCTCCTTCCTTCCTCATACACACAGCTTTGTGACCATGATGGGCTGGAAGGCACATCCATTCCCTTATTCTCATCCCCCTGTCCCTACCCTATCATTTCCCCACCCCCCTCCCTCCCCCCCACGTTCTCCCAGCTTCGTGAACATGATGGGGGGCCATATTTGGGTGGAGAGCGAGGGCCCTGGCAAGGGAACAACGGTGACGTTTGTGGTGCGGCTGGGACTGCCAGAGAAGGCCGACGACCGCACCAAGGCGGGCCCCGCGGGGCAGAAGCAGGCTGCTGGCGGCGCTGGTGGGGTGACCAAGGCTGTGGACTTCACTGGGCTCAAAGTGCTTGTGTGCGACGATAACCAGTGAGTGGATGGGAGGGAGGGTGTATAGGCCATGAGGTATAGGGCAGCTTGCACTGGTGCCTCCTCCTCACTGCATCATCACTGCTGGCGGCGCTGGTGGGGTCACCAAGGCTGTGGGCTTCACAGAACTCAAAGTGCTCGTGTGTGATGATAACCAGTGAGTGCAATGATAACCAGTGAGTGCAATGATAACCAGTGAGTGCAATGATAACCAGTGAGTGCAATGATAACCAGTGAGTGCAATGATAACCAGTGAGTGCAATGA